TCGGCTCTCGACCTGGGCCAAGGGTGCGGTCAACGCCACAGATAGACCCTTGGAGTCCCCGTCTGACTAGAACACAGTGCCCCCTTAGGTATGGGGATTATTGTGTGCGTAGCTTGAACTTTTCCCGGATAAATGGTGCCGCGACATGCCAGCCGGTCGGAGGTGACCCGTGGCGAGGGCGGCACACAAAAGTTAATTATGAAACATTTTAGTGCCCAGTGAAAACAAAGTCTGGCTAATTCGTTTATGTGGCATGCAAAACTTAATTACACCTGAAAGCAGGAAGATATTGTATCTTCCGCGGAGGACATTAAATTAACATTCTGTCGGTCAATTCCGTGGCCGGATGGCCAGGCGGCACTCAGTGGAAGCATCTCATTCTTGTGGCGTTTTTCCCGCTCGATTCCCCGCTTCCATTGAACAGGCCCCATGCTAGAACACTGGACTGCACGGCACTTGATTGAGCTTGAGGATCGCCTGCAGCTGCCATGTGAAAGGAAACAATTTGCTGCTAAATTGCTACATGGCGTCGCCTGTCGATTTCCTGTCATCGGTTTTGCTTTAACCTTCCGCCCTTTCTCTTCCTGCTTTTAATTCCTGCCGTTTCCCCTCCTCTCACACCTGCCACTATTCTGCTATCCGCTCGCTAGTGAGTGTGTGGCGTGGCATGATAATTGTATATTTGATTGACACTGCCGCTGCTCTGATACCTTTATTGCCATTTGATTGCCTTTTATTATAATTTAATTGCACTTTTCAATCGACGGTTAATTAAATTCGCTTTAAAATAACATTATTTTCGACTGCGTTTGTTCTGCGTTTTATTCATTAACCGGCGGCTTCTGTGTGTGTGGATTGAATGAATGGACATTCACACTTCACTTGATTCGCTTCAATTGAAATGTTGCCTTAATCCGGTGGACATTAATTGATGTATTTACAATATTACGCTGCAGTAACCGTACCTTTAATTTGCAACCCAGGCAACGTCCTCTTTCTCCTCTTCCTTCTGCCACACTCATTTCCATTAGGGTCCGTAAATACATAAAAAGCATCCGCAAATAACAATAAAACCCACAAAATTATTGATACGAGCATAGGGCATAGAAATTGCCTTGCGATAGAGTGGCATTGCCTGTGGCAGTGGCAGTGGCAGTGGCAGGCAGCTTCACGTGTCTGTAGACCCTTGACTCTGATCCGCCAGAGAGCTGAACTAAGCAAATATGAATGGGCCTGCCCTGCACGCTTCGGGCAAACTAATATTCAAAAAACAAATATGCCCAAACTTTGCCGCAGAAACTTCCATCTCGAAATACTTTAAGGCAAACTTTATTAGCCACCAAATACCTGAGATTTCGCCCCGGTACAAAAGTAAGCAAAAAGCCTCCGAGTCTTACGCCCGACGAACCATTAAACAAAGGGCATTCTTTGGCCTGTGAGTAGGGTCCTGCCTGCCTGCCGAGCCGCCTACAATGGAGAAATGTAATTGATTTCATGTGTTTGACGCGCTCAGCCCCTGGGGGCCCCGTGCAGAAGGTCTGCCTAATAATCCTATCTAAGGCACGCAGACAAACAAGCCCCCCGATACAGGAGGCCGGTGGCAGGAGGCACGAGGCAGGAGGCAGGAGAGCAGACACATCAGAGCATACCGAAGCCGAGAAAAACCCATTCAAATTGCTCGAGCTGATTGCTTTGTGAGGCGAATACCAAAATGTGACTAAGTTTCGTCGCTCTGCTTCTATGCTCGAAGTTATTGTTGACTTAGCCTTCGGTTCGTCATAAATCTGAGTTCCTCCACGCGTGTCTGGATCTTATTGCCCGTTTGTACGATAATCAAATTAAAAATATATTCTCGCACAACTGTCAAAAACTCAAAGGAGCAGGTGCCTCTCAAGTGCACGTGAAATCTGAAAGCTACAGATTACCTGCGCGGCGGCTGTCACCTCCCTGTGTTTCTGTCATGTCAACGAAATTTATCACACACCCACCCACCCACACACATCTGTTGGTGAACCCATTTGCATATATGTATGTGTGTATGGATGTCGCGCAGTTTTTCTACTCTTCCGATTTATTCATTTTTTTGTGTAGCATTTTTAGGGCTCCCCTGCTCCATGAGCAGAAGGCCCTGCTATTAATTCTGATTTTTTGCGCCAGCAAATTGAAGGCGACGCGTAATCTAGGAGAGTCGGGAGCGGGGGCCAGGACATTAGCTGCAGCCCAAGCGCTCAGGCTGAAGCCCTCTGAATGCGGGCTACATGCCACATACAGGGGCAGGCAGTTGATTGAATCTTATTTGATGTGAATTTTTCAAATTTGCTTTATTGTTTGTGGCTGGCACACATGTAAATGTCACATTTGGGTGTCGCCACATACTTTCCAGATGTCAGGAAAAATCTCTGTAAATGGAATGTGAAATGCGAGAAATGCGAGAACCAGAACCATGCGGAAGAAAAGCTCCAGAAATTTACAGTCTGAAAAGGTCCCACAGTCCCAGTTTGGCCGCTATCGAGGACACACTTCCCAATCATTATATTGTATTCTCCGTTTGTGAGCTGAATGATAATTAAAAGTGGATATATTGTATGCATCTGAAACAAACCACTCAACATATTTGCTGTTTGCAAGTAGCATTTCCTTTTGAGGAATTACAAGGAAACTCAATTCGTGAATGCTGTTGAAAATGGTAAAAAGAATTCCCTGCACAGGCTCGGTCGTGTGCATCCTGCACGTTAATGGCCCAGTCGTTGATTTCCTCTGAATGGCCATCGAGAAGTGAATGCATCAGGATGGCGGCTCTGTTTATTTTGTTTTCACACAGTTGAGTATTTTAATATACTCATAGTCCATACCGTACTTTATGAGTACGCAATGCGGGAATTGCTAGCAACTGTCCTTCTGCGTATACTCCCGTGTACCGTGTCCCGTATCCCGTGCCCCGTGGCCCATGGCCCGTATCCAGTCGACATTCTCTGAAATTGTCAATTTTATGCGAGTGTAAATCTTATCGATGGAAATCAATTTGCGCAACATTGCAGCGGAAGCTGGAAAGAGGAGAAAAAGAAGCAAACAAATTGATATCTTCTGTAGTCGGAAATTCTGCCGCTTTTAAAGCCATTTCAGCCAGCAATACACAGCATTTCAGCAGGACAATATTTCAACGTCTGGGCCCAAACAAACCAAAAAAAAAAAGGAAAACATGGAACAGTAGAAAATTCAAATCAGCGAAAAAAGGACAGGGAAAACGAACAAAATGCTCAATCAAATCAAAGTCTCCTCTCCCCCCCCACAGAAAATGCAAAATAAGACAATGACAAAGCGGAATCAAATGGGATGAGATGGGTGGATGTCGTGGATGGGATCCAATGGATGGGAATATTCCGTAACATGGCGTGTACACAACAGTGGAGTCCAATAAAAACACATTGAGGCGAGTGTCAGTGACAGACTTTGTTATGCAAAAGATGTACAAAAATACATCAGGAGGGTCTTGACTAAAGTAAGGAGAGTGGAGAGTGGCTCTTAAGACCCAAATACGTGAGGCGTAACATTAGATATTGCCATGATAATTAGTAGGCTAAACAATCGATAGATGTATCTACTCACTATCAGGCCATCGCTTTTCTTTGATGATTCCCCAGGAATATCAAAGGTTTTCCATGCTCTATTTAGAGCTTAGCTCTCAAAAGTGTCTGATCTACTTTTGTAGTAAACGAAACAACCAACAGCTTGACTTTATTGTAATACCCAAACCAGGACGAGCCCGGGGAGAGAGACAGACAGCACACAACTGAGAAACAGAGAGTCAGAGCGAGACAATCACTGACAGAGCCTGACGAGAAATGTAATCAAAATAAATTACGAGCGTGTAAGCAGCCTCCGGTGTCTATTAAGCGCAATAAAAAGGGAGAACACCATTTGTTTAAGGCAATCTCATTATTAGAGGTGTCCCTGCCCACACCACCCAGAGGCCCGCAGCCTCTGGCCCCAATGCTGCTGCAAGCCCTGAATGTGACGGACCCCCTCGTGTTACCTTTTGGCCTCGTCGCTGCTGCTGTTGCTGCTGCTGGTGGCGGATAATGCCGCTGATTACGCTGATGATAAGTAATTCCGCAAACTCGAACTGCAGGCCATGTCTAAAGTGGCGTTAACGCGTTTGTTGATTAGTTCGCGGTGCCTCTGAGGGTACTGGGTAGAGTGGTTCAGGGGGGGCTATGACAGGGATACAAAGCAGCCGCTGGGGATGGGGGGGACAGGCCGACAAGCTCATTACGGCGCCAACAATTTGATTAATTACGGTTTTGCAGGGTTCCCATTTTACGTTACTTTGCGTTTTCCCTTCATTTTGCCGCCCGTTCCCCCTCCAAAGCAAAGGATTTCTTGCAGTTCTTTTTCCTTTCAGCCGCCGGCGCGCCGACTCTTTGCGGCGGTGGCATACAAAATTTTATGCAAATTTAATTTACCTCAGGGCAATCATTTTTATGGGCAAATGCCCAAGGGCCACGCCCACTGCTACCCTAAATCGGGAGCGGTGGGGGTGTAGCTTGACAGTTTTAAGCCCATGGACCCTTTGGAGGCTTTATATTTTTTCTGGCATTAAAATTTTGGTCTGATTACGAAACAATTTTTGTAAAATTTTAATGAAAACCTAACTGGAAAATGGTCAAATTATGCATGACTTGGAATTATTTGCTGTGACATTAAACAAAGCCAGAAAATGTGTAAAACTAACATTAGTAATAAATGTACACGTATTTATTAATGAATAAATATGAGAAATAGTGAGAGCACAAATGAATATAAAGCGCTTTACAAAAAAAACGCTTTAATTCCGATTGAAATATTTAAACGAATCAAAAACAAATGGATTGCATGAAGTTGATTTTGTGCGGAAAATCACGAAGGTGAAACCTCAATTTTGTCAATTAAAATCGTGGAAAACATAAATCGTTTTCGTTTCCATATGCAGTTATTAAAAATGATAAAGCGTAAAAAGTATCCATAAAATGTGAGAGACCGAAGCAACCGAAAGCCACAACCACATTCAAAATGTGTGCCGCATATCAGGAGGATGAACAGCAGCCATCGAACTGTGAGCAATATCGGAATTTTACGAACCGAAATTCATGCATATCAAAATAAAGTCCGATAATTCAGTGCACAAAATATATACAGCAATATAGAAAACGGGAGAGAGATAGAGAAAGAGAGGTTAAGGACCAAAGCTAATGACAACATGAGAGTGGATTGCAGCAGCAAATGGCTCGTACGAATTTCTGTTTTTCTATTCGTGGTGGTGCTCTCCGCGTGGCATCCACTGCGGGCCGAGAGTGAGGTGATTGGCGACATAGAGGAGAAGGCGGAGGGGCTGGAGCAGGAGCAGGCGCAGGAGCAGAGGATGCAGGCGACACCCAGAAGCAGAGTGCGACGCCATCATCAGCACCATCCTGATTCGTATCCGGCCCAGCATCATCATCATCATCAACATCATCATCAGCGCCCACACCAGCACGAACAGAATCATGGCAGCAAACACAGTCGGATACACAGCAGACAGAGTCACTACGAGGCCCTGGAATTAGAGAAGCACCAACAGCAGTTGGGCAAACACTGGCGACAATGGAGGCAGTGGAGCAGCAGGCACCTGCAAGCCCCGGATTATGTGAATGATGAGGCACAAACGGTGGAACTGGACACGTCACAGTCAGAGCCACAAAATCGGCGTCTCAGCGACGACCATCTCTATGATCAATTCGATGTGGAAGAGTACCAGCGCCATGGCAACATTGAAATGGCCGCTCCCCGGTCCGGACGGCATCGTGGCCGCCATTTGCCGCTCAAGAGCACCAACAACTTGCTACTGCCCCTAATGGCGGTGGACGGGAGTGGCAAGTACATGCGCTCCCTGCCAGACTCCGTGAGTTTCCTGAACGATCGCCTGCACGCCGTCCAGCCGCAGCGCCACTGGCCGGTGAAGCGCGAGGCCCTGATCGAGGGTGATCTGATATTGGGTGGCCTGATGATGGTCCACTCGCGCGAGGACAGCATCACCTGCGGCCCGATCATGCCCCAGGGAGGCATCCAGGCGCTCGAGGCCATGCTCTTTACCATAGACAGCATCAACAAAGCCCAGCTGCTGCCCAACATCACGTTGGGGGCTCATCTCCTGGACGACTGCGATAAGGACTCGTATGGCCTGGAGATGGCTGTGGATTTTATCAAAGGTAAGCAGCAGCAGCAAATTTCAGCCACAGGGAGGCCACATGCGAAGCTCGCTTCTCGCAAATTTATATGCAAATTACTCCGTGTGTGTGTGTGCGTGTGTATGTCCTTTTACCCCCACTTTGTGTGACTCTGACATTGGGCTTATGCTGATTTCATTGTTTGCATTTGCGTTTACAGTTTTTCGTTCCGTTTCAGTTGCAGTTGCAGTTGCAGTTCGGTTAATGTGGCTAAAAATGCAAAAGTTTTGATACATTTACATAAACCCAACTCGGGGCACTGGTTAACCCAGTGTATTTTGTACAATATTTAATTCCACTTTCAGCAACCAAATGGAATACTCGCAGTAGCCCCGTGGCACTGCTGCAGGATTTTCCCTTCATTCCATCTTTCATTCATCTGCCATCGTTGCATATCAATCAATTTCCAACTGTATTGGATGGCTGGAGATGGCCTGTTCGTTCCTTAAGCTAGCGTCAAAGATTTTATTATTAAACTAAATTAATAAATAAATTATGTGGCTTTCGCTCAGCGGGAAGCGGCTGAAGAAACGAAACGAGCTCTTGCTAACTAAATATGCATAATTCCCCAAAGACAAAACGGCTCTCGGCTTATTGGGGTTTGTGCCACAAAGCAGTGCGACGGAGATGGCGAGAGTCTGGTAGAAGTAGAGAGAAAGAGAGACAAATGGTTAGAGTGTGTGTTCAAGTGCGTTGGGGAGTTAGAGAGCGAAGGAAGATGGTGTATAAAGAGCCGCTTATTACTTTTATCGGTGCAAACAAAGAGGCGCGAGGCAACATCTACACACATACACACACACACACAGATAGACAAACACCCACGCAGATGTACACACTCAACGATCCATAATCAATTGAGCACAGAAGGGAGCGGCGGCATCCTTGTCATCGTCCTGGAACACTTTCTAATCTCCATAATTTCATTATTTATTTGCGCGGCAAGGATTTATTCGAGCGACGTGCCACACTGCTGTTCTCGTCTCTCTCTCACGCGCCCTCTTTCTGTATCCATCTCCGTCTGCTGTTGTGTGTGACGTATGAAAAATATAATTTTCCAAGTCACTGAATTATATTGACAGGATTAGGCAGGCCGTAAACTATGAGAGCATCTCTCTCTCTCTATCTCTGAGCAGCTTGTACGCCCCACTATACCCCCCATTGTCCTTTGCGCCTCCCCACCGCCCACCGTCCAGGCACTGTACGAGCATTCTGGTTAATAATAATCTAGTTAGGCATCGAGTGAGTGCCCCACAGCCCACAGAGTTAATTAATTTGTATTTAAGAGCTGGCGGCAGCAGACGCTACTTCTCGCACTTGCGGGCGTGCCACTACGCCACCTAAATTGTGGTCAGTGGGGCATATAAATTGGTCAAAAGCAGTGCAAATGGGTGGCAGTTTTAGCCAAAAATTTAAGTGCGGGAAAGAGTGGTGCGTATATTTTATGTACACGTACTTATCTGGTTTCAACATTAGGTATAGCCCTATTTGCATGGCCTTCAACAACATCCATCAATCGTTTAATTCCCCTGGAATTGACAGCAGAAAAATACAAAACCCACAAAAGCGATACAAATTGCCATCAAACATATGGCCACCATTGAACGTCAGCCATTATTTCCGGCATTCAAACGGGATTTATCATGCAGAACAAGGCTAACATTCATAGCCAGCGGATATCAATGAATAGCCAGGCAAATATTTAAATAGAACAAAAACAAAAGCGCCAAAGCACTAAAGCGAACTAGACAGTTAGAGTGGCATTAATTAGGCATGCATATGCAGTTGTTTATACACTAGCCATACCATACACCATGTAGCCGTAAGTGCTGTTTCGACATCAAATATTTTGCGACAGGAAGGAGTTTAATTAATTTAAACACAAAACTGGCCGTCCACATGGCCAAAAAACTTTTCCATTTCAAAATTCAGTTGTAACTTTTCTCAGTATTAATGAAGCCATATAAGTAATTATAATTTCGATATTATACAGCGGGCGTTGGTATCTACCACACCATCGATAGAGCTAGTGGAAGTACTAACTGTATTGTGTGTGGAGATACCAGGTGCAAACATCGGCTAAGAACTATCGACTAGTTGAAAGGGAGATGGAGATCGAAGCCGGGACTCGTTTTGAAATACATTCATCACGACTGGTGAACTGGTGAACTCTGTTCATTTGCGGCCTCCTACAGAGGTTTGCTCTGGTGGCAGAAGCCGGTGGAAGCCGGTCCACGGGTACTTTCAATGAGTATCCCTTTAAGGAACTTTCAACCGCAAAGTTAACCTGTACTTATGCCCCCTCCCACTCGCTCTCCTCTTTGCAGGCTCTATCAGCAACATTGACGATGCCGAATATCATTGCAACAAGACGCAAGTAAGGAAGGTCATCTCCGGGGTGGTGGGCGCCGCCTCCTCGGTAACCTCCATACAAGTGGCCAATTTATTGCGCTTATTCCGCATACCCCAGGTAAGTGTTATCCATGTGTGGTGTGTGTGTATGCCACAAAGGTGTGTGCCCAGTCTCGAAGGGGCAGAGATGCAATATGCGACCAGAAAGTTTTGTGGCACAGCAATTTTTGCTGCCAGTTTCAAAATGTTGTGCATTGCTCACAGCTGTGTGGCTGTGGACTCGACCCACAAAAAGTTCCCCCTGTATTTTAGTTAGTAATTAAAATTGGCCAGCAACCGCATGGATGCCATTTGGGCAGTGGACAGAACTTGTAAGTGCCCCTACGTGCTACTAAATTAGTCGAAACCAAAGAGGCAACAAATCACACAAACTGCAGCAGTTGCAACCGTATTTCTCTCTGTGTACTCGTATGTGGGTGGAATCACGTCGATGCCCAAAAGAAATTAAGTAGCTGCTACTGCTGCGACGGCTATGGCTCCTCGTACGTGACTCGGGGACCAAAAGTCGATATGCGACAATAACTAAGTAACCGGAGCCCTGACAGGATCCGGCTGGGGATAGCCGTACTTAGCTTTACCTCCTGCAAGTACCCCATAAAACGCACAAGCAACGACAGCAGGAGCCGCCGTAGGAGGAGGAGCAGTAGAGGCGACAGGCGAAGAAAGAGCAGTAGGAACAGCAGCAGGAGAGGAACCATCAGTGGAAACCATTTTATGCAGACCCGGGAAGCTGCCTCCTTCCGAAAGAGAACTCATAAATCAGACATAAGCATTTGATTGCATTTCTTTTGCTTGCTCCCCAAGTCTGGGCTATGGGGAGAGGCTCAGTGTACAAGCATTTTTCTACAGCTTTCATTTCCTCTCCTCCTGCAGAACGGTTGAGATTGTGGTCAATTGCAGATCAGGCAATTCAGCTCCGTTGCAAATTATTTCTCAGCTCTCGATATCACTAGAATATAGATGCAGCGAAATCTCAGAGGCTCTGACAAATATTATATTTAATGAGAATCTGTTCAAGCTGTCGCGATTCTCCAATTGTAATCCATTCCCTCGGGAAAATGTTGAACTCCGCAGCCCTGAGCCCTGAGCCCTGAGCCCTGAGCCCTCCCCCCATCAGACTTCAGTCAATACCTTTTGGAGAAATTCATTATTCAAGCTGCTGTCCGTTCCACCGATGCTCGAAAGTGGCTCGAGGAGAAAGCAAGCACTTGTTTAACTTGAATGGTAATGACACTTAATTAGAAATGAAGTAGTTAAACACTTGCAGATGACTTGGCAGATGACTTGCTCTCGACCTCCCTATCGAAGAGTTATTTGTGCGTAAAGTTGGTTTCTGTTTGCAGTTTTGGTCAATTAAAATGCCATCCTCTGTGCGAATTTACTTTTGTTGCATTGTTTATGGTCTCCGTGCAGCATGAGAAGAGTACGCACCTTTAAATCGCGAAAAACAAGGGGATATTATGGACAGAAAATTAAGAATGGTCAAAGGGAAAAAGAATCCCCTTCATCAAAGGGAATTTCGTACAGCACAGGGCACTTTGTCAACATAATATTGGTGCCTTTTTGTAATGAAAATATTTTCGCATCATGTCATAATCTTCCGCCGCCAGGTATCCTACTTCTCGACCAGCCCAGAGCTGAGCAACAAACAACGCTTTGAGTACTTCTCCCGCACCATACCCTCGGATCATTACCAGGTGAAGGCCATGGTGGAGATTGTGATGCGGATGGGATGGAGCTACGTTTCGATTATCTACGAGGAGAGTAATTACGGCATCAAGGTGGGTACCCCTCAACGCTCAATTTAAACATTGTAGCACATCCGAGTACGCGGATAAAGCCCTCGCGGTGTTGCATGTGTCCCGTGTGTTTTTACTACAATATACAATCCGCTCATGCCGATGTTGTTGTCTCGTTTGCAGGCTTTCGAGGAGCTGGAGGAGCTACTGGCGCGCCATAACATTTGTATTGCCATCAAGGAAAAGCTGGTGAAGGATTCTGGAGTGGCCGAGGATATTGCATACGATAATATCGTGCAAAAGCTGTTGACCAAGCCACGCGCTCGAGGTAAGTGCCGTGCAAAGAAAGGGAGAACACTTAAGCGGGGAAGCTGCTACAATATGAAGCTGTCAAGGCAACAGGCGAAATGCAATTTTCAATGAAAATGTCAACGGAAGGCGTGGCCCAACAAACGAAAACAAAGCAGGAAAAACATTTCCCAACGCCTGCCAAATGAATGCAGTGCGCAGGGCATGAACTGTGACATTTTTGGGGTTTGGGGATTGTGGCACGGAAATTGTACAAATTAAACGAAAACATTTAAACATTTTTCCCTTGTTTTCTGTCTTTATTGCAAATTTCACAGCAGGAAATTAAAATGCATATACATCCCATTGACTCTTTCTCGACAAATAGGAAATGGAAAGTGGTGCAGAGATTTTCACATAGAAAATTAAACTAAGTTGTTGGCAAACAAATTTTGTGGTCATAAATTGAAAGATAATCAATACAGGTGGCTGGCACTGACAATCCAATATTCTGTATTATTGAAGTATTACCATAACTGAATTATTATTAAAATATTTTGACCAGTACTTTTAAAGCCATTAACAATATAAGCTTTCAAAAGTATATCCCAGACAGGCAGTCCGATATCAATCAGGACAATTTTTCATCCTAAATTCAAATAAAACAAGTTTTTTACCCCGGAATCGTCGTATCGCACCAATCTGCGTCAATCATACGCCCCGTGGAACAGAGCAGAAACGTACACAAAAAAATACAGAAGAATAAATGTCAATCAAATTTAACTTTCGACTGCGTCCCAACTCAACGGCGCATTGCAAAATATTAATCAAATGCCACTTACAGGCGGGGCTCTACAGAATAATATATTTAAAAATAATTACCCTCTAAACCTTTTATGCATGTCATTAATCAGGAGAAGAGAGAGTCGGTGGGGCGATGGCGATGCTAATAAAAAGCACCAGTGCCAGCGCCAGCGCTAGTGCCAGTGCCCCCGCCAATAACAATTGACTTTTGTCTGGGGCCAAGAATATTTGATTTGCATAAAAGTGCCATCAAGAGTCGTAAAGCGGGGGGTCGGACCCGGGTCCTCCACATAAAAAGGGTACTTCAACAATCATTATTTATTGTGATTTGTGATTTGACGCCGTTTACTGGCTGCCTCGCCCGCTCCTACTTCCAACTCCTGGCTACAATCCTTTTTCTTCTTAACGATTAATCAATTTGACAAAGTATTTTCTCCGGCATCAGTTCTTTAATTTTGCATATGGCGGGGGTCCGGGCTGGGCTCTCTCTGAAAAATGAGAGCCCCAAAACGGGTAACTGCGACTGCAAAGTGCCGTCAGGGGCAAAGTTAACCCTTGCAAAGAAACCAACACACACACACACAAACACATACACACACACACTCGCACACATGTCAGAGCTTGAGCTGGAGGTGGAGTTTGAGCTCTGGGGGCTGGGGCTTTAACATGTTTTTGCTTTTTATCGCACTTTTGCCAAGTTTTATTTCTTGCTTTCTTTTTAGCCCAACATTCATGCTGTTCAATTTATGCAAATTTCTTCACACTTCACACATTTTATCACAAATTTGCTGGTAAAAAATTAGAAAACTTTTGATATAAATTTGCTTGCAATGTTCAAGAGAGTGTGTAAGTAAATCAAATTTGATGTCTTCTCCAGAAGTAAATGCATTTTAATTAGTCTGAAAAGGCAGTCAGACAGCAACTCTAAAAAGTAGTCTTTTCCTCAAGACACAGTTTCCTGCGTTTGAATGAGTTTTCTTCTTCCTCAAGCGGCTCTTATGAGGCTGCTTCTGTTGCTCCTGTAGAGGCGAATCAATAATGGGGCGTGTCGGAGAGGCACGAGAATAGCTGCCTGTTGGCTGCGGCCTGATAAGAAGTGACAACTGCCACTCACAACGATCCCAGTCAGCCACGAAGAGGGCCAGGAATTGAGTGGACGGCAGCCCGAGTCCATAACAATGGAATGGATAGAGCGACAGAGGGACAGAGAGACAGAGAGAGAGAGCTGCTACCAAGAGCCGCTGTCAAGAGTCCAGTATAGTATCGGGTATAACTGGTTTCTGTTCTGGTTTTGAATGCGACTACTTCGCAACATATAAACGCACACAAAAGAGTATGGCCTGCAGCTTACCAATGCTGTATCTGCATTAACTCTTTTATATTGCCCTCTGATATACGTAAAGTATCCTTTGTGCAAAATTATCCCCAAAATAAATATCAGCAACAGAGTTTACATTCCATGTTCTCGCTGCCTCGGACTTGTTTCAAGGCATATTCAATTGAAAATGCTGCCTTTTGCGACGTTCATATATTGACACATTTTCTAAATTAAAGAGGGAAATTGGTTGGTATTACTGCGGTTGACATGATGATGATGCTTGACCACTGCTATAACCCTATGGAATAGAATATTTAAAGACATATTTGTTGATACAACAAATGTGGTGGAAGCCTTCTGCTTGACTCTGTTGATGCCACTAAGCCGCTTATTCTGTATTTATTTCAATTAAAATTAATTTGAGTTCTTTTTCCTTTTAAATCCTTTGCGTGCTGCCTGTGCTTTTGTGGATAGGTGCCATCATCTTCGGGTCCGACCAGGAGGTGAGGCAGGTGATGCGGGCTGTACGGCGGGCCAATGCGACGGGCTCGTTCTCCTGGATAGGCTCCGATGGCTGGAGTGCTCGAAATCTTGTTTCCGACGACTACGAACCAGAGGCAAGTAAACTATTGCTCCGTCAGCCAGTGCCGATGACTGAGCGAGTTCTGCCAGTCGGAAATTATGAGGTCTAAATGGGCGAAACGGTAGCAGCGTTTGATAAATGATTCGCAGCACCAGGAGCAACAGCAGGAGCAGCGGCAGTTGATGGCGATGTTCCAGACACACAAAAGGCGTGACAATGCGTGCTGACTGTGGCTGTGGCTGTCTGGCACTCCGAAAGCGAATAAATGATGGTCAGAGCAAATAATAGAAAACAGTGCGCGTTTCACCGCGTTTTCCTATGATGAATTGTGGCTGAATTGAAATTAATTGTCCGTCTGTGTGCTTACATTAATTTGTGAAACCGTTTCAATCGAGAGATGAGCGCGTGACTGAAACAGGCACCCATCTCTAGCTTTTGTTATGCGACAATCTAATCAAGCATTTGCCCACGTGGTCGTTCTTTTTAAAAACAGGTGGAGGGCACCCTCTCCGTGCAGCCGCAGGCGAATCCAGTGCGCGGCTTTGAGGAGTACTTCCTCAACTTAACTGTCGAGAACAACCAACGCAATCCGTGGTTCGTAGGTAAGTCCCTGCCACAGCCAAGCCACGCATAAATGCGATTACAGTCGTTACCCTTAGAATTCTGGGAGGATCATTTCCAATGCCGCTACCCAGGCAGCACCAGCACCCCCTACAACAACTACACCAAACAGTGCACCAACAAAGAGCGACTCTCGCGGCAGAACACTGACTTTGAGGATCAGCTGCAGTTCGTTAGCGATGCGGTTATGGCATTTGCCTACGCTCTTAGGTAAGTTCAGAGCCGAGAAATGGCAGAAACGCACATAACTCCACATTAATTGCTCAGGGACATGCATCACGACCTGTGCGGGGGAAGGCCCTCGCTGTGCGATGCCATGAAGCCCACCAAAGGGGCCGACTTGCTCAAATATTTGCGTAAAGTTCAATTCAAAGGTAAGAAGGGATTAAATGTTGTCTTTGACATCTAGACCAAGTGGAACAGCGGGTAAATGAAATCCAAGTATGCACTGCATAGGATTGATTAGTCGTGCTGGACGACGCTCGGTGACAATTTCTGAAGGGAAACGAAGATTATGTCTGCCATGTGAAGTGCTTTTCACCATTCCATCATTCCACCATCGCAGGTCGAGTCTCAAGTGTTGCGCATATACGTATAAATTTAAGTGGAAATATCCCGCAAGCATTTCGTTGTGGTTGGACGTGTACATGACGGCATGGGTCTTAGTGTGGGAACGGAACGAGTGTCCTACCCTGCGTACACGCATTGGCTATGCTTTCGAGTGGAAAATTGACTTGCTTGTCATCGTCATTGAACTCAATTTGAAATTCAATAAATTATACAGACCGAGAGGGCGGAATGGAGAGGGTAAGCTCCAGCCAAAGGCTTCTCTCTAGCTCTGACTGACACAGATAGTCAATTTTCTGATAAAGCATCAGTTCCGTTGTGGCCCTTTCTTTCAAGGCTTAAAGCCATAAACACTTTTCCCTCGTTTTACCCATTCCGCAGGACTCAGCGGCGACCATTTTCGCTTCGACGTGAACGGCGATGGACCGGCCCGGTACAACATCATCCACTTCAAGCAGTCGCAGATCGGCCAGTACCACTGGGTGAAGGTGGGCGAGTACTACGAGGGCGAGCTGCGTTTGAATATGTCTGGTAAGACAAGAGACGTTCTCCAAAGCAATTTCCATCTGTATTTACATTTTTTGACTTTGATTTTGGTTTTCATTCCATTCTATTCCATCTACACAGAGGTGAAGTTCAAGCGACTGAGTCCGAAGCCACCAGAGTCCGTCTGCAGTTTGCCCTGCGATGTTGGTCAGGCCAAGAAATATGTCGAGGGCGAGAGCTGCTGCTGGCACTGTTTCAATTGTACAACTTATCAAGTAAGTGCCGGCCACTCGGTCCAGCTGCGTTTGCTGTTGCTCCTACCATCTAATTGAATTGCTGGAGCTTTTCTCCCAATGGAAACGGAAGCCACTGCACCAGAGAGAATCGGTGCAAGTACAGTGCGAATGGGGAGTGGGAAAACGAATACCCAGAGGCTCCTCGGTGCTGGTGTCGACAGTACAATTAAAATAGGCCATAGAAGTTCCACTTCCGTTGATTTGTGTGTCTCCTTTGTTTGTATCACTTTCGCAGATTCGTCACCCTGATGACGAGACCCATTGCCAGCTGTGCAAATGGGGCACGCTGCCCGACGCCCACAAGCAGTACTGCCGGGCCATACCAGAGGTGTACTTGCGACCAGAGTCTGCCTGGGCCATTGGGGCCATGGCATTTAGCTCCACGGGTATTCTGATAACGCTCTTTGTAATGGGCGTATTTGTCAAGTGAGTGCAAAAAAGGGAATTTTCAAACTCTCGTGTGGTGTCGGGGAGGGAGAGTTTGAACACATATCCTGTGTAGTTTTCCGATTCGGGAAACTTTGTCCATGCAATTCATGGCAATTAAAAAGTTTGCAATAATATTCTAATACAAGTACCTATGCAAGAAAGCTAACCAACAAATCATTGCCTAATTGGAGCTTCGGAGGCATACATACATACATACATGGTGTACACATGACTGAAGTTGATAACTTTTCTCCTCACTCCACACTCTATTCTGCAACACAGGCACAATGATACGCCCATAGTTCGAGCCTCTGGACGGGAGCTGAGTTACATCCTGCTGGCCGGCATTTTCATGTGCTACGGCGTCACCTTTGCCCTGGTCCTGAAGCCCAGCAACATAGTGTGCGCCATTCAGCGGTAAGTTGTGCAGATGCCTCCCCCCCCCTCCCAAGCGGGTGGAGATGCGATGCGGGTGTGAACGGATTCCTTTGTACGCGTTGCAGGTTCGGCGTGGGCTTCTGCTTCACGGTTGTATATGCTGCACTGCTGACCAAAACGAATCGCATTGCACGGATCTTCAAAGCAGGCAAACAGTCTGCCAAGCGCCCCTCGTTCATTAGCCCGAAATCTCAGCTGGTGATTTGTATGTTCCTTGTCACGGTCCAGGTGAGTGGGCGTGGAGGAGGGGAAAGGCGAAGGGCCCTCCCTGCATTTGGCATGGTTTCCTCTCTCTCTCCGTCTGTCTGCATCATTCGCAGATACTCATCAACGGCGTTTGGATGGTAATTGCTCCATCACATGCCATGCATCATTATCCGACACGCGAGGATAATATGCTCGTTTGCGACTCGTATATAGATGCCTCCTACATGATTGCGTTCTTTTATCCAATCGTTTTGATTGTAATTTGCACTGTCTACGCGGTCCTCACGCGAAAGATACCAGAGGCATTCAACGAATCGAAGCATATTGGTGAGTACCGATTGATTGAGTCTTCATCGAGGACGTGGGCCCGCACTGGATCGAAAAAAGCCTGATTCCCCATACTCCTTACAGGCTTCACCATGTACACTACCTGCGTGATTTGGCTGGCATTTGTGCCGCTATACTTTGGAACCGCCAACCATGTGCCCCTGCGCATAACCAGCATGTCGGTGACCATCAGTCTGTCCGCGAGTGTGACCATCGCATGTCTGTTCTCGCCCAAGGTAAGTAATTGGGAGGAAAGTGTGTGTGTGGGGCAGCGATGGGGGACGTATTGGGTTAAATGCCTTGCCAGTCGGTCGATCGCCCGGTCGACTGGTAATTACTTCATACATATTGTATATTAATTATTTCCAATTTTCCTTTATTCCGCTAACCGATTTCACAGTCGTTTCCGCTATAATTTGTAAATTGAATTTCGATTCAGTCCCTTGCCTTTCTTCTGCTCCCTCTCTCCTCTCTCTCTCTCTCTCTCTCTCTGGTAAAACGATAAACGGACGCAAGTAGTTCATTAAAATGGCATGAAGGCGGAAGCGAAAGGAGACGATGATAAGAAGGCGCCAAGTGGCGGTTAAGTTTGCAAACGAATACGTTATGCCCGCTCCCTGGTAGTGGTCGGAATATTCTTAATCATCGCTTCTCCTCGTCGTACACTTTATGTTCAATCGTGGCCATAGTTAAAATGTCATGGACAAGCAGGTCAAGCCAAACATCGAAAACCATTCATGACTTCAAGCTTTGTAGGGATGGGGAGGACATGCATTCGGGAGAGGGGCAGGCAGAGGGTGCACCAGAGGTGGTGTAAAATTGCTTTGCGAAAAGGAATTGCGGAAAAACAATTTCCTTGGCTAATTAAATGAAATGAAATCACACAGAAAGCAGTTTAGAAGCTGCGACAAAGTTTTCCCCTGGTTGGATAAAAGTTGAAAACACGACGTTCACACATGCAGATCCAGGAACAGCATAAATAGCCGCATTTTATGGTACTATAACCCTCGACCGCTGGGAGAAAGAGGCTATAAATACTCAACGTTGGGGCTATTATTAAATGTCAGGGAATAAAGTAGCTTGCGACTGTGCAACTGTGCGACTGTGCGACTTGGCTCCTTGGCCCATAGCCTAGACGGAGCCAGAGGCAACTTTCCTATCAGATGTCACCCAATGCACATTGTACACAGACGGGGGCTCGGGCGTACAAACAGAGGAACACCTTGGGCCATAAAAATGCAATTTACAATTGGTGTGGCAAGAGTGGAGCCACAGTAACTGCCGCATGCCACAGGAACACAAGCCGGGGGATCATTGAACTACACTCTGACCATAAAGGTGCCACCAGCCACGCCTCCTGCTCTCCTGCTCGAAGGGGGGGGGACACACAGAGAGGGGACGAAACCATGTTGGCGGCAAGCAATTTTAACATCCGACTGCCATTCCCCCATTTCACGCTGACTTATGTGGCGGCCATAGCTCTACCTCTGCGGGAGTATGTAAGTTTTTTCCCCTCATTTGTTTGCTTGTTTGCTTTCAAATATGGGCACAAAGCGGCCACAGTAGCACCCACAATAGCACACGGGGAAGTACAATAAGAAACGCCATCCAAATGGCGTCCAAACAATGTCAAAGTACGGCCGGAAATGTCCGAGCAATATGTAGCAGGACGCAACGCAAACGAACGCAAGGGGAACGTAACGTAAATTAAGACGGACTCGTCTCAGTGGCCTTTTGTTTTGGCCATTGCGAAGGGGAAATGGCTAATGACACTAGGACTTAAGGCTAGGCACAGGGTGGGCGTGCCTGGTCACGCAGTTCCTATTAATGGAAACCATTAACTAGAGCTTCCAGATGAAACTTATTTGAAGAGTCATGTCGTACAATGGTTGAATGCGTAGTGTGGAAAACGAGTAGTCGCAAATGATTCCCATCTAATTGGCAATGATTTTATTTGCCTCGAACTGTCGTTACAGCTCTACATAATACTCATTCGTCCGGAGCGCAATGTGCGGCAGAGTATGATGCCTCCGCGCCATGGCAACATGCACCGCACGGCAGGAACAGGACCCTCGTCGATGATGGCCGCAGCGGTGGTGGGCGCCGCCACCTGCGCCCAGGAGGAGAAGATACAGAGGCACATCACGCCCACCAATACGGGTAAGCATTTACCAGATAATTTGTGTTTGTTTGCCTTTCCATTTTTTGGGCCCTTTCCCCGTTAACTCACCGTCGCAGAGGCCTCGCTGAAGACGAAAAAATTATGCGAAATGGCCACGCAGACGATTTCCAGCATCTTCACTTCGCTGGACATCAACGCCTATAACCAGATTCCCTATGCCGATCAGTTTGTGCCAAATAATACGGCGATAGAAACGAGCACGCCCACGCCCCCAGCCAATGGAGACAATGAGGAGCACGTGGTATCCAACAACAACAAAATCAATCAGATGCAACACGGCCAGGCAGCCGCTACCAATGTTGTCTCCACGGCCGTCAATGGTATTACCAGCGCGCCGGCAACCACAGCAGCAACAGCCGCGGCAGGAATTGTGGGAACAACAGCAGCAGCAGTGACTGCGATAGCTGCCACAGTGACTACAATTGCAACATCCACCAGCACAGATGCAACAGGAACCACCAATGCCACCAATGGCAGCCATCGGGGGCCCGTTCTGCAGACAAACTTATAACTAAACGCTCAGGAACTGCAGCAGCAGCTGCTAAAGGAGCAGCATCGACAGCGGCAACTGGAGGCACTGGACCCTCAACAAGAGCCATTGAAGGAAGAGCAGCAGCAAACAATGACGCAAGGTTCCGGCAGCGATGGCGGCAGCATAGGTAGTGGAACCGCCTCCAGGAAACGGGCAGCCATACCCGTCTAAGGTCCACCATGGAAGCATCCAATAACAATACGCGCGAGTAAGTGGCAGAAAATGTGAATATACTGTAAGTTTTCTAAATGTCCAACAGGACGGTACAGGGAGAGAGGCAGCACTGGGAACCGGTTGGGGAACGGGAACGCCCTCTCATGTTCCTGCTAAGGAAACGATAACTATATCAAACTTTAGAACTTTAGCAGTATCATGTGAGGGCTGGCCCAAGGGAACTGAATGAAGAACATAAGAGTATATATCCGCTATTCCGCTCCCCTCAACCGAATAAATTCGGTTTCCAATGATGTACGCGTAACCAAACCAAACGATTTGTCAAACAATTTGTCAGCCATTAAGAAGTAAATGAATATTAAGTGTTTATCTTTAAGCTTGTCTATCCCTTTCTTCAAGGATTGTTTGAAAATATTGCAGAAAGGAATAAGATATAGAGATGGAAACGTAAACGGAAACGGAAAACAAAAGAAAATGAATGAAAAATGTGATATAATTTCAAAAATGTGTTTTCTAAAACTACGATTAGCTACGAGTAAGCCATTTAACTATCTGAACATACAATTTAAGAGTTATGCATAGGCCAATGTACAAGCTGAAGGTACAAGTAAGACCTGTACCGCAGCACTGGAGAAACAGTTGACAAGGGGGCGCAATTATGTTCCCAAGGGGCTGGGACCCAGCCCCTTTGGAATGTAGCGGCGGGAGTGGAGCCACAGCCACGTACAACAATTGCAATTAAAATTGCATTTATTGTGTTGTTTGAGCCCAGCAACATGGTAGATTTAATTGTTGCCCAGCTAAAGTGTTTATATGTACATATATATATATATGAATAACCTCTAGCCTCTAGTTCAGTGTGTATAAATATTAATGTTAATTGTGCCGCTTACCATTTGAATGTTTTTGAAATGTGTTGACTCCAAATAAACTATATTTGCATATATAGAATTACATCATACACATGTCTAAGAACTAATAGATCTTAAAGTTTAGCCAAATGATGAGAGTTCAAGAAGTTAGTGCAATGTATTTGAATCTCTGTGTGTGTTGCGTTACGTGTACATAAATAAGCAAACGAAATCAAATGAACATTTTTGAATGTCTTTCCCGTTGGTTGATCACTTAATTCGTAGCTAATAACAATAACAATAATATATTATTAACCATGAGTATACATATTTACGAATAAATCAGAACTACAGCTGATATCAATGGAAATAAAATACTTCGTGATTCATGTCCTCTCCTTTCATTGGGTGGTCAGAACCAAGGCTTCAGCTGGATCCACGCTCAGCATTTGAGCGCTGAAGGTAGTTCTATGAAGGGGATATTTATTAACTCCACATTCCTTCTGGAATATAATCAAACTTACCCTTCGGACTTGGTGGAGGCCAGACTGCGGACGAGCAGCTGCAAGTTCCCAGACAGATTCTTGTCGAACTCCCGCAAGTCAATAGTTTTGGTCTCGGAGCCAAAGTTGATTACACCCACAATAGTGGGAGAGTTGGCGAGCGATCTAAGTAAATAAAACATCAGGTTTTTTACTCCACTTGAGAACGATTTCACTCACCGTCGAACCACAAATATGTCCTCGGTTAGAGCCAGATACTTGGTGGATCCGTTCTGCAGGGTCTTTGATGATTTGCGTAGAGCCACCAGCATCTTGTAGATCTTCAGATGGGAATGTTCTGCCGCCAGTTCTGTCTCCACATTGACCGTCTCGTAGTCGCCCGCCAAGGGCAGCCAGGTGGTGGGTCCATCGGTGAAGCCCGCATTGCTGCCACCCGTCCACTGGAATGGCGTTCGCTCGGGATCCCGAGTGTACATCTCGTAGATATCCGGATTGGAGTTGCAGCCCCAAGGATCCACAGTGTCCTCCCAGCTGATCTCGCCATCGGTCATGCCGATCTCCTCGCCCTGGTATGTCACACTTGCCCCTGGCAGGATCATCACTAGCATGTTCATGCCATCAATGTGGTCCACTCCATATCGACTGGCTGCTCGTCGCTTGTCGTGGTTTCCCAGCTACATGAAATGGAATGGGGATCGTGAATTACTACACCTACTATCTAGAGAGACCCTCAACATACCACCCAATTGGGCGTTCGCCCAGCGGGCATATTCTTCAGCCACAAGTCGATTGCCTCCTGAACTGTCTGGGCACTTAGACCCTTCTGATCCATCACCGTTATCAGGTTGAAGTTGAAGGGCAGGTGGGCACCCTCCGTCGTCCGATTGCCATAGAACTGCATGGTGAACCAGGCAGCAGAGTAGGTCTCTATAAGAAGGACACTCGAGTCGCCCCCATATATCCTTTTGTGGTCGTCCAGCACCGTGCGCCATTGGTAAACCATGTCTATGGACTCTGGCCTGTCTTCAATGTACGTCGTGGTCAGATAGTCCCGATCATCTGGATCATCAGTGGCTCCTGTCACAGTCTCATCGGGGTACTGACCATCTGCATCGGGCAGGACCTCGAATAGAGGCGGAAGTGCATCGCAGCGGAAGCCAGCCACGCCCTCGTTCAGCCAGTAGCGAAGCACCCGCTTCATCTGCTCCACCACCAGAGGATTACGGTAGTTGAGATCGGGCTGCTGCACTGCAAACTGGTGCAGATAGTACTGCTGTCGCTCCTCGTTCCACTCCCAGGCTGTGCCACGGAAATACTGCAGCCAGTTGGTCGGTGGCTCCCTCTTTCCCGTCTCAGCATTCACCTTTCCGTCGTGCCACACGTAGTAGTCCTCGTAGCCCTTCTCCCTTTTCACCGACTTTTTAAACCACTCGTTCTCGTCACTTGAGTGATTTGGAACAAAGTCCAGTATGATCTTCAGATCCAATTCTTTGGCTTTCTTGATCAACGCTCGGAAGTCGTCCAGAGTTCCGTACTCTGGCTGGATGTCGAAGAAGTCGGAAATGTCGTATCCAAAGTCCACCATGGGCGAGGCAAAGATGGGTGACAGCCAGGCGGCAGTCACGCCCAGATCCTTGAGGTATTCCAGCTTGCTCGTGATGCCATTCAAGTCCCCAATGCCATCACCGTCCGAGTCCTTGAAAGATCGTGGATAGATCTGATAGAATTGCGCTGTCTCCCACCAGTCTTTGGTCTCCGCTGCTCCAGAGCTCTGCACTTGACAGCCCTGACCTTGGCCAATGGCAAACAACAGCAGAGTCAAGAGCCCCAGCCGCAGCCGGATCACAGTTTGGTTCCCAGTCACAGACATTATATACGACGCTCCGGCTCTTCTTTGGGCTTTTATACTCGTAGACCCTCCAGCTAACACATACTCGAAGGTTAGATAAGCTCTGAAAAGGAAAATACCAAAGTAGTGTGGCTGAAGAGCTTTGAAGAACGGTGTCTTGTGTGGTGGGGTATCCCGCCTTTATCTTCAGGGCAGTAGCTCAGTAGCGCAGGGAAAAATAAGTGCTAATCTTTGTCAAAATTTCGTCCATAGTTATTTCATACATTGTGTAAGTGCATACAGCATTCGCTTTTTCTGGGGAATCAGCAAATATTGGACTCTTGAGTGTTTTGCCAGTTATACAATGGAGGCCAAGTACTTGATGTACGCTTATCATTTGAACTCATACAATCAGCCTGCTATGGCCTGATCGCATTCATATAAAAGAGACAGCTTTGGGTTTCCCAACAAGTTAATAAAATGCACAGAGCACGACTAAATCTTCTCAGTACACTCCTCTGCCTGGCAGTCCTGGCGAATCCATGCTTGTCAGCGGCGGTGAAGAGCAAGGATTGGTGGGAAACGGCGCAGTTCTATCAGATCTATCCAAGATCATTTATGGACTCAGACGGTGATGGCATCGGAGACCTGAATGGCATCACGAGCAAACTGGAATACCTCAAAGATCTGGGCGTGACTGCCGCCTGGCTGTCACCCATTTTCACCTCACCGATGGTGGACTTTGGCTACGACATTTCCGACTTCTTCGACATCCAGCCAGAGTACGGAACTCTGGACGACTTCCGAGCGTTGATCAAGAAAGCCAAAGAATTGGATTTGAAGATCATACTGGACTTTGTCCCAAACCACTCCAGTGACGAGAACGAGTGGTTCAAAAAGTCGGTGAAAAGGGAGAAGGGCTACGAGGACTACTACGTGTGGCACGACGGAAAGGTGAATGCTGAGACGGGAAAGAGGGAACCGCCCTCCAACTGGCTACAGGCCTTCCGTGGCAGTGCCTGGGAGTGGAACGATGTGCGGCAGCAGTACTACTTGCACCAGTTTGCGGTGCAACAAGCGGATCTCAACTACCGTAATCCTCTGGTGGTGGAACAGATGAAGAGGGTTTTGAGGTACTGGTTGGACCTTGGGGTGGCTGGCTTTCGCTGTGATGCGGTTCCAGTGCTCTTTGAGATTGAAACAGATGAGAACGGACAGTATGCGGACGAGGAGGTCAGTGGGTTGACAGACGACGTCGACGCTCGCAATTACTTGAAGAGCGACCTCATCGAGAACCGAGCGGAGACCATCGACATGGCCTACCAGTGGCGAGTGGTGATGGACGACTACCAGCGCATTCATGGCGGCGACACGAGGGTCCTGCTGATTGAAACTTACGCACCTCCCGCCTACACCATGCAGTTCTACGGTAATCGCTCCGTGGAAGGCGCCCACCTGCCCTTCAACTTCAACCTGATTACGGGGCCCGCCAGCGACGGCGTCTCCGCGAGCTCCATCAAGACAGCCGTGGACAGCTGGCTTAATAACCTGCCCCCGGGTCGCACGGCCAATTGGGTGATCGGCAATCACGATCAGCGGCGGGCAGCCAGTCGCTATGGAGCGGCCAATGCGGACGCCATGAACATGCTGGTGATGATCCTGCCGGGGGCCAGCGTGACCTACCAGGGCGAGGAGCTGGCAATGACTGATGGCGAGATCAGCTGGGAGGACACACAAGATCCGGCTGCATGCAACTCCAATGCCGATATCTACGAGCAGTTCACCCGCGATCCCTCCCGCACTCCCTTCCATTGGACGAGCGGCACAAATGCGGGCTTTTCAACGGCCCAGAAGACCTGGCTTCCTCTGGCCCCGGACTACGCCACTGTAAATGTGGAGACGGAGTCCTCGGCCGAGCGTTCCCATCTGAAGATCTACAAGGCGCTGGTGGAGCTCAGGAAAACATCAACGACACTGCAGAAAGGATCAACGAAGTATGGGGTGCTCAAAGAGAATGTGTTCGTAGTGAAACGGTGAGGGAGTGATCCAAGGGGAGTCCTACCAGTTTAATGTAACGTTTTTCCTCTTCCAAGCTACCTCTCTGGCTCCGAGTCCATCGTTTATGTGGCCAATTTGGCCAGCAAGGGAATCACAGTGGATCTCTACGAGTTCGACAAGACCTTGCCAACGCATCTCAATCTGCTCATACGCAGCCTGCAGTCCTCCAAAAAGGAGAAGTAAGAAAGTCTTGCCTACAGTAGTTTCTAAAACACGCTGAGTCTCTCTCTCTCTCTCTCTCTCTCTTTTGTCAATCCCTTCAGCGCATTGTTCGAGGTGTATGAGCTGAGTCTGGCTGCCGGTGAGGCCTTAGTGTTGAGCACCATATGAATCAATTGAAGCAGCTGAGCCTTTTCCGGGTTCGATTGAGCCCCTTTACTGATGCGATTTCCCATCGCACTCACTTCAGAAATACTTTTATCTTTGACTCAAAGCAAATATGCCGCGGCTTGCATAAATAAATGAATAAGTACAGAAAAAACAAACAAACCACTCCACCACACACACACACACACACACACACACACACACACACACACACAAACTGCTACGGGTACATCCGCATCCCTTGCTGCCGCCGGATGGGGCTGAAGTGCCCCGAGTACTCTGTTAATTCCCGCTCGGGAATGCCGGGGTTCGCCATTTAAAGTGTTTACACACAAATTAAAGTCAAGCACAAGTCTCCCTCCATCCATCCATTCTCTGTATTCGGTGAGTATTTTGTATTTTATACTTTGTGTGTTTAAAAAGAACCCATGAGTCAGTCGGGTTATGCCAGTATGTGTGGCACAATGTACAAGAGTAAATACAGACGCCAACCAGAGACTAGGCCCATAAAACAACACTGTCTGGTCTGGGCAGGGGTGCTGGTTCTGGTTCTGGTCCTTCTTCTGGTTGTGGTCCTGGTCCCCGGCTTGGGGGTGCTCTTTGAAGTCGAAACCGTCGAGAGTGGCTCGATGAGTTTCCTAAGTGGGGTCGGCGGCACATGCTTTAAGGGCGATCGATTACGAATCTCTCCGATAAGTCCTATAGCAACCCATTTGCAAGTCAACCGAAAGAAAAACTTCAATTGCGTTATAAATAATTAAATTGCGTTTACACATGGTAATTGGTAGACTCGCTTTGGAAGAGTCTTCACGTTAAGTATACGACACAGTTGCTGGTATCAAAGATTTTTCGAATATTCCAAATTGTTTTGCCCAAGCCTGACTTGGGTGGGAGAAGAGACTGTCAGTGCCTGAACTTCTTGGGTTCCCAGTCCATCTACAAGGCGAGTATATACCTGATTTGAGTGGATTTCACGTGCGATTAGTTTTGATAACAATTACGAGATTGAATTTCGTGGAAAAGGTAATAATATAAAATGGTTTAAGGTGTTGCCTGACACCTTTTACGCATTTTGTACCTTAAAGAGTGGGAAAAGGGATACTGTAGCACCGAACCACAGATTCCTTTCCAATTTCGAGTCAAAAACTAAACATCATGGAGTTTAGGCACCCGATTTAGTTTTTTATGCCAAAAAATCCAGGTTTTAAGGTCCGATTTATGTGATTTCGATTTAATGGTATTATGGGATTCGGCCAAAAAATTAGCAGTCTGTATCAGGCCGGGCGCAAAAATGAATAAAAAAGAATCGTGTAAATGGCTGCGTGACCCGTCAGCCCATTAAAAAGGTCACAGACACAAAGCAGCGGCAGGAGATGTGAATGCACTGAGCCACTTCACCCTTAAGCACGTGACCAGAAACCTTAAAAGATATTAAATTGTGAAAATGGAAACCGCATGACAGACGGATTCGGTGGCAGAGAGGAGTCCCACCTGATGGCAGTCTTCAGCCTTTTTGTGCATTTCATTTTCGTACAGATAATGAAGGTAATTTCCCAAAGAGAGAGCTTGAGAAGCTTAAAAACGCACAGAAATCATTACATTTAAGATGATTTCCGCAGATTTACAGTTCCGATGGCATAGGACCGGCAAAAACTTTGTGACTCTTCCTATTGAAAAACTTTTTAAAAAGCATTAAGTTCGTTGTAATCGGGGCACCCGGAAAAGCGCCCAGAGCTGTCCTCTTGTACATTTAGTTAACGTATTCGCAGCTCCTACAACGTTTGCATATTAATAATGTTTGCCAGAAAGGCCTCATATTTGAGTTTCGCCAGGATGTCCAGGGGTGAGCCGCTGATGGGATTGTCTGGCTGAGGTTTCTGGATCGGCACGTGCCAGCGGGCCAGGTACGAACAGGAGCTGGAGCTGGAAGCTCATTTACTCGCTGGCGGCCCTCGTTAATTGCACCACAAACAGGGCTCATAACTGTTGGCCAAAGGGTTGACTTATGCTCGCCCAGATTCGGAGGCATTCGGAATGCCTCTCACGTTGCGTTTCTGCTGGGTTAACAGTGAATCCCACAGAGGACACGCTGATGACAGACCAATTGTCGCGAACGGCCCGTGCGATGAGGCTGGGAAAGCGTTAACAATGATTTTGCAGTTCTGTTTGATACGAACTATTTTTAAGAGCATCCTTAAGTTGGTAAGTTCTTTGTTCCTTCAATGTTGCAGCTTTCGCGCCAACGAAGTTGAAAATTCATTGTAATTTTACTTAATTTTGTATGAGTAAATTAAAAAGCCAAGCAGTCAAAAGTTACTCTCCCAGTAGCTTGTTACTCTCACCAACGTTGAGTACCCACAGAATCACACCCCCCACGCACACACACAAGCTGCTTGCCTCATTTCCGCGACACCTTCTGTGGTCTATCGGGTCTTTTTTTGACAGGGAGGCAACGCTTCGGATGCGTGATTTGTGTGTCTTATCAATCACGTCTAATGGAATTTCTTTCTCTCCACGCCCACGGGCTCGTCCTTGAGTGAGGACGAAGTTCCCTCATAATTTGTAATAAGTTGGCCAAGAATACGACCTTAAATTGAAAAGTTGTCCAATGTCGTTCGCCCAAATACGAATACGAGAAAATGTGCGCGTGTGTCTGTATTTTTTGCTTTTTGAACTTATGATTAGATATGGAATACTCTACACCGACTCCAAAATAAGGGCCGCGTATGGTTCCAGAGAGAGGCTGCTGAGAGTAACGCTGTCGCTGTAGAGACAAAGTCAGTATATTAGTAGAAACATTAGATGATAATGGCTGAGAGCTTACCCCGCAGATGCCTGGGCCTGGGGATTGGACACCTTGATCTTGTAGTTGCCGGAGGCATACAGTACACCGGCCACATCCACACCCGTGACCTTGGTGTCCAGCACATTGGCCACTAGCACCATGGCGGGTTGTCCAGTCAGCGATCGCTTGATGGCCAGCACATTGTCACCCACATTGGCATACCTTGTGGAACCAAGCTGCAGGGTCTTCAGCTGACGCAACTGCACCAATTGCTTGTACAGGCTCAGGTGGCTGGTAGTGGAGGCGTTCTCCGTCTTGGCGTTGATGGTCAAGTAGTTGGGGTTTATCGGCAGCCAGGTGTTACTGTTAGTGGAGAAACCGGCGTTTGCCTCATCGCTCCACTGGAAGGGCGTTCTGCCCGGGTCGCGTGTGAATTCCTCGTAGATATCCGCGTTGGAGTTGCAGGCCGACGGATCGCGCGTGTCCTCCCAGCTGATGTCGAGATCTGTCATGCCCAGCTCCTCGCCCTGGTAGGTGATACTCACGCCAGGAAGGAACATCTGCAGCATGTTCATTAGGTCAATCCGATCCTCGCCATATCGACTCCCCACGCGACGCTGATCGTGGTTTCCCATCTTAAAGAAAATGCAGCATTCAGAAGCTTGCGGATCTTGAAGCGTGTTCGAGCACTTACCACCCAGTTAGCCGTCTTTCCGGCGGGTATTTGTCCCAGCCAACTCTTGATAATCTTCACAAATCCGCCTGCAGTGAGTTCAGTATTGTTCTTATCCCCATTTCCGCCCACAATGAATTGGAAGTTGAATGGAATCTCTGCTCCTTTGGCTGTTCGATTGCCGTAAAACTGCATTACGTAGTCCAGCTGAGAGTAGGTCTCCACCATAATGACGCGCGTGTCTCCACCATGGACGCGCTGGTAATCGTCCAAGAGTGTCCTCCACTGAAAGACCATCTCTACCGTCTCGCGCAGATCCTGGGTGTGAATGTGCTTCAGGTAGGCCGGATTATCAGGATCATCTGTGTAGCCGCTCAGCGGCTCGTCTGGATAGCGTCCATTGGCATCGGGCAGGGACTCAAAGCACCAGGGGACGGCATCCATGCGGAAACCGGCAACGCCCCGATCCAGCCAGTAGGTCAGCACACGCTTCATTTGTGCCACCACCAGGGGATTGCGGTAGTTGAGATCGGGCTGCTGCACGGCGAACTGGTGAAGGTAGTACTGTTGCCGCTCCTCGTTCCACTCCCACGCACTGCCACGGAAAGCCTGTAGCCAGTTAGAGGGCGGCTCTCGCTGCCCAGTGGTGGAGTTGACATAGCCATCGTGCCACATGTAGTAGTCCTCGTAGCCCTTCTCCCTCTTGACTGACTTCTTGAACCAGTCGTTCTCGTCACTCGAATGATTCGGGACAAAGTCAAGGATGATCTTGATGTTCCGTTTCTTGGCCTCAGCTACAAGCTGGTCGAAATCGTCCAGTGTGCCATATTCTGGCTGGATGTCAAAGAAGTCGGAGATATCGTAGCCAAAGTCTACCATTGGTGAGGTGAAAATGGGTGACAGCCAAGTGGCCGTGACTCCGATCTCCTTAAGGTAGTCCAGCTTCGATATGATGCCCTGCAGATCGCCAACGCCATCGCCATCAGAGTCCTTATAGGATCGTGGATAGATCTGATAGAACTGGGCAACCTGCCACCAGTCCCGCGTCTCCTCCGTTGATGCCGCCGCCCTCTCTTGGTACGAATCAAGGCTGAGATCTATGGCAGCAGCGTCGCCGGCCGCGCAGTACAGCCCCAAGAGGAGAATAGTTACCAATAAGTTGTGTAGAAACGTCATGACTGACTGAGAAGCCCCAATACTGGAGTCCCCTTTTATAGCTCGTCTCTAAAGTAATCTGGCGATAAGCTTGAGTTCTCGTACGAGTGTTTTTTTTATTTTGAGTGCTTAATTAATCGACAGCTGCTGGAATCACGTGTGGAAATTTACCGGTGGGTGAGATAGAGCGCCACTTGAGCCAACCAGAGATAAATACCGAGCACCGGCAGATGACGAATCTCTCCGTTGGTGGCATAAGCAAAGTACGAAGAGGTTGATTGAAGTACAAGTGAATCCTTGGGTTGCAATTGAACAGAGGTGGAATTGATGAGATCGCTGCCGCAGAAAAGTATTTTATCAGTCCTGTAATTAATAATTTCAAAGAAATAACTTACCCCACTTTGACTTTGGATCGCTCTGTGACCAGAACAACTTGCAGCTGTGCGGGCAAATCTGAGAAGCTCTGCTGCAGGTTGACGGTCGCCACTCCATCGTAGATATTCAGCACAGTCACAAATGTGACGTCATTTTTGAGATATCTGCAAAGACCTTTCATTACTATTAAGCCAAATTGGTGAAGGAGTTTTCTCACCTTTTCACGCCCAAAACAGCGCCACTTAGGGCCTTCACGTCAGTGTCTCCCCGCTGCATGGTTTTCGCCTGCTTTCTAAGCTTCCAAAGCTGTTTGTAGACATTCAGGTGGCTCAGAGGCTGGGTCTCTTCCAGATTCACGTTGATCTGCCTGTAATCCTCTCCAATGGGGAGCCACGTCTTGCTGGCATTACTGAATCCCGCATCAGTGGCATCGCTCCATTGGAAGGGAGTACGTTCCGGATCACGTGAGAACTGCTCGTAGATGCTTGGGTTGGTGTTGCAGGCGGAGGGATCGACAGTGTCCTTCCAGGAGATCCACACGTCTGTCATCCCCAGCTCTTCGCCCTGGTAGGTCACACTGGCTCCGGGCAGAGTGGCAATCAGAATATTCAGCATGTCTATACGATCCCTGCCCAGACGGGAGCCCACTCTCGGCTTGTCATGGTTGCCCAGCTGGTAACACAAAACGGATTAAGGACTATTGGTACCGTAAAACAGGGACGTCCACTCACCACCCAATTTGCGGTACGGCCTTTAGGCATATGTTGGAGCCACTTCTTCACGGTGCTGGCATATTCCCCGGCATTGGATGAGTTCGTCAGCTCACTTATCAGCAGAAAGTTGAACGGCAGCTGAGCGCCCTCGGCCGTGGCATTGCCGTAGTACTGCATGACGATATCAATGGGTGAATAGGTCTCGGCCATTAAGATGCGCTCCTCGCCACCGTTCTTTCGCTGAAACTCATCCAGTACCGCACGCCACGAGTAGACGAGGTCAATCGTCTCGGGTTGATCGACGGTGTAGATGTGCTGCAGATAGCCGTAGTCTTCGGGATCATTGTCCCAGTCATTGCGGGGCTCATCGCGGTACTGATTCTGTGAATCGGGCGCCATCTCAAATACATGTGGCACTGCGTCGATGCGAAAGCCGGAGACGCCCTTGCCCAGCCAAAAGCGTAGTACATTCTGAAAGGGATCCAAAGTTTATAAGAAAATCTGCTAACTCACGATATCCACTCACATTCATGGCCTCCCGCACTTTGGGATTGCGATAGTTAAGATCCGGCTGCTTCTGCACAAACTGATGTAAATAGTACTCTTGTCGGCCCTCGTGCCACTGCCAGGCGGAACCACGGAACACACTGATCCAGTTGCTCGGGGGATGGCGAGTGCCGTTCACCATGCGCCCGGGATGCCACACGTAGAAGTCCTTGAATTCTGGATCTCCGGCCGCAGAGCGCTTAAACCACTCGCATTCGTCGCTCGAGTGGTTGGGCACGAAATCGAGAATTATTTTGATGTTCAGCTGCTTGGCCACCTTCATCAAATTCTCGAAATCTGCCATGGTCCCAAAGATGGAAGCTATCTCCGTAAAGTTGGCAATGTCATAGCCAAAATCGGCCATAGGCGAGGTGAAGATCGGGGACAGCCAGGTGGCCGTAATGCCCAGCTCCTTGAGGTATGACAGCCTCTCCGAGATGCCTGCGCAATGGCATTCGCATTATTAGCTGACCTCTCTTCAACACTATATTCTCACCATTCAGGTCGCCCACGCCGTCGCCGTTGCTGTCTTTAAATGACCTTGGATAGATTTGATAAAAGGCCCCGGTCTGCCACCACTTCAGTTCCGCTGCCTGCTCCTCGAGGTCCACGAAATTCGCGTGGTAATTGGGAAAGGGCTGGCCCTGCACCACAGCTAGAAGCTGCAGCAGCACTAGGGCCACAGCGACCGAGCGGTGTTTAATCATCATTGATGGACTGCCTTATAAAAGATTTGCTAATATGTATTACTAGAACAAGAACTGAACAAACAAAAGCAGCAACTGGTGGATCGCATCGAGTGCGAAACATATTTATACGAAATATAATTATGTAAAGAGAAAGAGAGCGATTGCTCGCTTAGTCGCTTGACGTGCGGTCAGCGAGAGAGCATAGTACAGTGCAATCTCCCTAGAGCATACAGTAACTAGATCACATTGACTTTGTAAATGACGAAAGCATATGTTGCTAGCCCAGTGTACACTCCTTTGAGTGTGCACTGTACTTGAATATTTTTAAACTGCGCAGCAGAGCAATAGAAGGAAAACGATGCGAAAAGAGAGATGCCGAGAGCCCATTGCACACACTGCGTGACAAAAAGCTGTTTATCGATGTCTGAGATTCTCGTCATACCGTTTTACAAATAAATTGATGTGCTATGTTGTGTTAGTTATTGCGGTAAGTAAATATACACTAGATTTGTATACTATCTGTACTGCGTATGCGTGGGGACTGTTATATTAGTATTTTAATGCAGAGCATCGACTGCGAGCTGAAGCCCAAGTCTCGGTGCGCATACAAATCACAGTTGCTGTATTCGTACGATTCCTGAACTGTACTTATTTTCCCTTTTGCTTATTCATCCTTTTTTGTCCCATCATCGCAACTTATGGTAATTACCACAAAATACATACATATGTACATACATACACTAACAAATTGAGTTTGAATATTTTAATAAATCATATAATTTGTGGAATATTATGTTTATTAAAGTAAAAATAAGTACTTAAACCGTAGTGGTGGACCGCAGCACAATGGATTCGTGTGGCATGAGGGTGACACTGCTGGCCGAGACCTGATCGCCCACCTGCTTGATGGACTTTTTAGTGACAAGGGCATACTGGAACTTGGCGGGCAGACCACCGAACACCTGGGTCAGATCCACATTCTCGATGGAGTCGAAAATATTGAACAGCGAAATGTAGACGTAGTTGCCGCTCAGGTAACTGAAATTTGGAACTTATTTATATCGATTCATGGGTTAGATGAGGTCAGGACTAACCGCTTAACGGCCAGGACGTAGTTGCTGACTGCCTTGATCTCGGCAGAGCCCTCCTCGATGGTGGGCTCCTTGCGGAGCTGCTGAAGCCGCTTGAAGATGTTTAGGTGGCTGAGAGAGACACCGCGCTCTGTCTTCACGTTACGCTCGGCATAGTCTTGGCCCACCGGCAACCACGTGGTCGATCCGGTTGTGAATCCAGCCATCTTATCGTCCGACCAGTGCATCGGGGTACGAGCGGGATCGCGTGACATGGCCATGTAGTTCTCCTCATAGCCGTTGCAGGCCTGCGGGTCCACAGTGTCCTCCCAGGACACGTAGCCATCGAGCATGCCAATCTCCTCGCCGTTATAGGTGATACTGCAGCCGGGCAGCGTCAGCAGCAGGATGTTGAACAGATCAACCCGATCGGCGCCGAAGCGGGAGCCCACGCGGTTCTTGTCATGGTTGCCAATCTGATCGGGATATTATGTGTCACCGACTGAATGTCATGCGAGTGCGGTTGGAGTCTCGCGATAGCACTTACCACCCAGTTGGCGCTCTTCCCAGCTGGCATAAGGTTAAGCCAGTTGTTAATCAGGTATTCGTAGTGATAGGCATCGGAGTCGTAGTGCAGATTGCTAATCAACTGGAAGTTGAACGGTATCTGGGCCCCATCCGCCGTGCTATTGCCATAGTAGTCCATGACGATCTCAATGGGTGACCAGGTCTCCACCATAAGGATGCTACGACAAGATACAAACATAATGGAATATCGTTACTATGAATCAACCACTTACCGCTCATCGCCCCCATTGTCAGCTTGGAACTGTTCGAGGATCTCACGCCATTCGAATCTGTAAGTAATTAACAAATATCGTGAGTTGTTCAATGTTCCTATTATTACTCCTGTAGAGACCGACTTACACCAGGTGAGGGGTCTCTGGCTGATCCACGGTGTAGATTTTGTGGGTGTAGCCATACTCATCTGGGTCATCGGTCCAATCGTTGCGGGGCTCATCCGGATAGTTGCCATTCTCGTCCGCCTCAATCTCGAAGGCATGGTAGATGGCGTCCACGCGGAAGCCGTCCACACCCTTCTCCAGCCAGAAGCGAAGGACATTGTTCATCTCCTCGCGCACCACGGGATTGCGGAAATTGAAGTCGGGTTGCTTCTTGTGGAACTGGTGAAGGTAGTATTCCTGGCGGCCCTCATGCCACTCCCAGGCCGATCCGCGGAACACACTCACCCAATTGGTGGGGGGAATGCGCTGCCCGTTGTCATCGACGAAGCCGGGATGCCAGATGTAGTAGTCCTTGTACTTCTCCTCGCCAGCAGCAGAGCGGATGAACCAGTCGCATTCATCGCTAGAGTGATTGGGAACGAAATCCAGAATGATCTTCACATTCAGCTCCTTGGCACGGGCAACCATGTTTTCAAAGTCCTCCATGTCGCCGAAGAGTGGATCTACGTCCTTGAAGTCGGATATGTCATAGCCAAAATCGGCCATGGGTGATTTGAGGAAAGGCGACAGCCAAGTGGCAGTGACGCCGATCTCCTTAAGATATTCCAGTTTCTCTGTGACGCCATTCAAGTCACCGATTCCATCGCCATCGGTGTCCTTAAAGGAGCGCGGATAGATCTGATAGAACGAGGCTGTCTTCCACCAGGGAGCGGCGGCATCGACGGCCAGAAGGCCAAGGCCGATCAGCAGGAATAGGCTCGACCAAGTGGTCATTGTTAACTGAAAATGGTACGGTTATAATACGTTTCTTATATACGGAACGATTACCCCAACGATAGCGCCCCAGCTATAAACTATTGGGCATTATGGCTTATCATTTATGACTTTCTAGTAAAAAATCCAGTATTACCAGCTGAGAGAAATATATGAGGAGACCTTTGACTGAGAGAAATGCGTATGACACAATGTTGGGTCAGGCGCTGGAACTGATTAACTGAGACGGGTACGGGTTCCGAACTGATGCAAAATTTGCCAATAGGGAATCCTATTGAAGGGAAGAAAACTTAGAGCTGAGGCCTCGCAAGGAGGTGGCTACCTATAGAAGGGCTCCACTTCAAGGACTCATGACCTACACTTACTTAGTTTCAGTTAGCTAATCTCAGCACACAGCTACCTTATCGCAACCTTGAACCCCCAAGACAGTCGTCTTTTATTTGCCCAGCCCTATTCAAAATACCCCCCAAGAAGTGAGACAATAAATTATTCATTCCAAAAAAATCGGTAAGATAAGATAAGACCAAGTCAGAAGTTATATGCAACTCTCACTTTTCGCTGCCAATCTGTTTCATGATCTCCGAACGTGAAACCTTACCGCTGCTGCCAATAAATACCAAAGTTGGTATCATATGAACCTGGTCGCTATCTGGCCAACAACGAAGCCGAATCCATTAAGTGGAAGCCAGCGTGGTTGGGACCATAAATCTGCCATATACCACTAAGCTAATCAAAAATAGTGGGCTATATGTTGGTATATGGGGGGTTTATCACGGCACAAGTTATCATTAGTACATCGATTGGGTCTGCCGAGCTGGTGTGCATAAATAGGGGCCCCGAATAATCCCATTGGTCATTGGCAATCGATCGAAATGGGTGCGCTGGTCAAAATTCTGACGCTCTCCTGCCTTCTGGCCCTCACGCTGCCCACGTTGGCTGAGGTGGGATGGTGGAAAACGGCCCAGTTCTATCAGATCTATCCCAGATCCTTTAAGGACAGCGATGATGATGGTGTGGGCGATATCAATGGTGAGTGCTGACGATCGTAATAGCTGCAGAACAAGTTCTCAACTGATTTCTTTTTAGGCATAACACAGCAGTTGGCTTATCTGAAGGAAATTGGCATTACGGCCACCTGGCTCTCGCCGATCTTCACTTCGCCCATGGCTGACTTTGGCTATGATGTGGCCAACCTCACCGATATTGATCCCATCTTCGGCACAATGGAGGACTTTGAAAGGCTCTTGGCACGCGCCAAAGAGCTCGACATCAAGATTATCTTGGACTTTGTGCCCAACCACACCAGCGATGAGTGCGACTGGTTTATTCGGTCTGCGGCTGGCGAGGAGGAGTACAAGGACTTCTATGTGTGGCACACCGGGAAGGTGGTGAACGGGATCAGACAGCCACCCACCAACTGGATTGGCGTGTTCCGTGGATCCATGTGGACGTGGCACGAGGGTCGTCAGGCCTACTACCTGCACCAATTCCATGCCAAGCAACCGGATCTCAACTATCGCAACCCCAAGGTGGTGGAGGCCATGAAGGATGTCCTGCGATTCTGGCTGCGCAAGGGTGCCTTCGGTTTCCGCATTGACGCCGTGCCCCATGTGTACGAGGTACCCGCTGATGCGGATGGCAACTGGCCCGACGAGCCCCGCAACGAGAACTCCAACGATCCCGAAGATTACGGCTACCTGCAGCACATTTACACCACCGACCAGCCGGAGACCATCGAGCTCGTGTATGCTTTCCGCGAGGTGATCGAGGAAATTGACCAGGAGCTGGGCGGGGACGATCGCATTCTGCTGACCGAGGCCTACTCCCCTCTCAACATCCTGATGCAGTACTACGGCAATGGAACCCATCTGGGCTCGCAGATCCCCTTCAATTTCAACCTGCTGGCGAACATTGGCTTCGACTCCGACGCCTACCACTACTCGGAGCTGATCCACAACTGGCTGGACAACATGCCCGAGGGCCAGGTGGCCAATTGGGTGTTTGGCAACCACGACCAGAGTCGCATTGGATCCCGCCTGGGTGCCGACCGCATCGATGCCTGCAACATGATTGTGCTAACCCTGCCCGGAGTCAGCATCACCTACCAGGGCGAGGAGATGGGCATGACAGACGTCTTTATCAGCTGGGAGGACACTGTGGATCCCCAGGCCTGCCAAACTAACGAGGAGGAGTTCGAGAGCCACACCCGTGACCCTGTGCGCACTCCCTTCCAGTGGAGCGACGAGAAGAACGCTGGCTTTAGCGATGCCCAATCCACATGGCTGCCCGTGGGCCTGGACTACAAGCTGGTCAATGTCAAGCGGGAACGCGGCATTGCCCTGAGCCACCTGAACATCTACAAGCAGCTTCGTGCCCTGCGCGATGAGCCCACCCTGAAGCAGGGAGATGTCACCGTCACCGCCATCGGTCCCAATGTTTTGGCCTTCAAGCGGTAAGTGGGGGAGACCTCTATGATTAATTCATTTACTAATAACAACTCTCTCCCTGTCTCTCTCTCTCTCTCTCTTAATGGATGAACAGCTCGCTGGCTGGCCAGAAGTCCTACATAACTGTCATCAACATCAACGATGATGTTGAGTCGATCAATCTGGACTCGGTCTTTACCTCAATCTCGTCGCAGCTACAGTACGTTGTGGTAAACGACAAGAGCGTCCGTCGGAAGAAGTAAGCAGAAACAGTCCTCTAATCCCTAAAATATATCTTAAACCATTTCCTTACTTCACAGTGATCTGACTTTCGCCAACTCCGTGCTGCTTATGCCCAAGGAAGCTGTTGTGCTGAGCACAGTTTAATAAATTTTAAAAAATTAAGAAAATTATTTAAAAATGAATTTTAGTCTTTCTGCCAGGGGGTTATCTTTATGAACACCCCACGCATATTAATATAATCAATGATTAGAGGCTCATTTAATTTATGGGGCAATTAGGCCAGATTACCATTACTCACGACCGATTGCTAAATTAAAGTTCTTTGGCGCAATGTATGTAGTCACAAGATCGGAATATTGGCATCAACAGATTCGAGGTTATCGATCACGTTTATTCCGAATTGGTTGCATAAGTTTATAGTACTTAAGCCATATCTTCGGATCTCAATTGGTTTAGTTTACAATTCCCTTGGGTAATGTGCCCTCAACGTACATGTTGATGTGTTGATCGATTTCTAGAGCCATGTGGACACCGGCTGATTGATTCCGCACTGTTTATCTTTATGAGGGGACCCCAAGCACACCTGATTAGGAACAAATAAATACGAAACGTTCCATTCCAGTAGATTATAATTTATTGCTGGTGGTTCAGGATCAGGCGAGCCAGCGTAGTACGACAGCTTCGTAAGGCATAAGCAAAATGCGTTCTCTGAGATCAACGGTTTGCCTATGGGATAACCGAATTAGAACGGAGGAGGATAATAAATACGATGAGAAGATCTTACCCTTGATGGTGCGAGGAGTAGGCAGTGGTGAGGACATACTCAAAGACCTTATCAGCCAGGCCATCGATTATTTCCATGCCGTTGCCCATGTTGACCAGGATGCGATATTCCTCACTGTACTTGTTTGTTCTGCAGAGGGAATTAATATGAGTATCATATAATTATAATTATAATTGGTTTCCCCTACCGTATGATCTGCAAGACTTGATTTGTGATTGCCTCATAGGAGAAACCGCCTTCCTGCTTGAAAGATTGGAATGCGGAGCTGCTCTTCAGCGCCTGCATACCCTTGAAGATGTTCAGAGAAGATCGAGCCACTCCCCGTTCGGTCTGCACATTGAAGCGCTCATAGTCCGGATTGAGGGGCAGCCAGGTGTTCTCGCCCTGGGAGAAGTCGGCATTTCGGCCCGCTGTCCACTGCATGGGTGTGCGCTCCCCATCTCGATCTTCGCACGAGTCTCCGGTGCACTCCACATCCACATTGGACATGCCGATCTCCTCGCCGTAGTAGGTGATCGATGCACCGGGAAGAGCACTCACGATCACGTTCAGCAGATCAACTTTGTGGGCACCCATGCGGTCGGCCACCCGATTGGTGTCGTGGTTGCCCACCACCCAATTGGCTGTCTGATGTTCCGTCCACATGGTATTCATCCAGTAGTCGATGGAGCTCACCACATCCCGCGCTGTGGAGTAGCCGCTGAGGTACATCAGTTGGAAGTTCATGGGGAGCTGGGTGCCCAAGTGGGTGCCATTTCCGAAATACGCACTGAGCGTTTCTACAGAGGAGAAGGCTTCGGCCAGCAGAACTCGGGAATCACCTCCATTCTCCGTTCGGTACTGGTCAAGGAAGGCACGCCACTCGTACATCAACTCAACAGTAGCGGGCTGATCCTTGGTGTAGATATGGTCATGGTAGTCGTACGCCTCCGGATTACTGCTCCAGCCACTGACAGGCTCGTCAGAATAGGAGCCATCCGCATTACGGTACTCATAGATGTGTGGAACTGCATCAATGCGGAATCCATCGACGCCCCGATCCAGCCAGAACTTAAGGACATCCAGCATGTGCTCCCGCACCATAGGATTGGTGAAATTGAGGTCCGGCTGCTTCACCTGGAATTGGTGCAGGAAGTACTGCTGTCGTGTCTCGTGCCAGGTCCACTGAGGACCGCCAAAAACGCTGATCCAATTGCTGGGCGGCTCCCGTTCACCAGTTTCCGCATTCACCTTGCCGTCGTGCCACACGTAGAAGTCATCGTAGCCATCAACACGGTTCACCGACTTGTCGAACCATTCATTCTCATCGCTGGAATGATTGGGCACAAAGTCCAGTATGATTTTCACCCCCAGCGACTTGGCTTCCACAATTAGCGCATCGAAGTCATCGAGTGTTCCAAAGATGGGATCAATGTCGAAGAAGTTCGAGATATCGTACCCAAAATCCGACATGGGTGATGTGAAAACGGGCGACAGCCATGTGGCCGTTATGCCGATCTCCTTTAGGTAGCTCAACCGCGATGTGATGCCCTTCAGGTCGCCGATGCCGTCGCCATCGCTGTCCTGGAAGGATCGCGGATAGATCTGGTACAGGGATGCGTTCTCCCACCAATCGATGTCCGCGCACCCGGCAATGGCCACCAACACTGCGACCAGACAGAGATGTACCCACTTTGGCATTTCGCAGGCGTTTGAGTGGGACAAATCAATCGATTTCCTAAATTAATTGCCGGGCATGTCGCACTTGCAGCTGATAAGACCAGAAATTGCTCAGAGCAATAGCTAATCTGACAACTTTTTTATCGCATGCATATACATACATGTGTTCGATTAAACAGCGTGGGTTGGGTTTTTCTTCGTGGGCTCCATTTCCTATTCGTAAGGCACCGCGGCAGGTCGTAAAATGAACATAAAAATGCTTAAGAAGACGAAGGCTTCCAGGGGGAGAGACCTTCCGAAGGTTGATTAAGAAGTTGCAGGCTTTCCTATGGATAAAATCACATTTTACAATAACTTTTCCAACTACTTATCAGAAACTTCAAGCAAGTGTTTCCACGTACATATATATATACGTATGTACATATGTACATATCTATGTACATTTTTATACCAATCAAAATCGTATGAGCTCTTATCGAAAGGAATCGTCTGTTTTTCATACTCACCTCCCATATAAATTATTGGACTTCGGCTACAAACTAATTTGATGCACATTTCCATAGATATTTGATCATTAAACGAGGGGGAACGTTGGGAGTTGCTGCGGAGACCGCAACTCTATATTTATACCCGATACTTAGTCAGTATGGCTCTCCTCCGGCAGACGCCGCTAATATTGAACGACACGACAAAGAGTGCGTTCGAGGGAGACAGAAAATCAGTCTGAGCGTGACGTAGGGCGCTGCGTAGCCTTTGCAAATTGATTTGTTCCTTTTGGCTATAAAAATGATCTGATCTGATCCAGATTCAGCAATCTGATAGATGTGGTCATTCTCTATAATGGTTTTTAGTTTTTTAGTATCTTTAAAAATGTGGATGGCACAGATTTTCGTCTATTGGGGGAGCGGAAGTGGGCGGGCGGACTTGTAACGGTGACGGACACAGAAGTCCGGATATGTCTTTGAGTCTTTGAGCACTAGGCTCGACTCGACTATTGATGCTGATCAAGCATATATGTATATACTTTATGAGGTCGGAAACGATGCCTTCTGGACGTTGCACACATCCATTTTTACAAGAAATCTAATATACCCCTATACTCATTTTGAGTATCGGGTATAAAAATCAGTCGTTCGTTGTACTTATTCGAATAGAATAAATTTCGTTTGACACAATAATTTCACTAATCTTGGCTGGACTTGGGTACAGAGTCGCTGCCAATGCACCACCAAACAGCACAACACGGCTTGAATTCAATTAAAATTGTTCTGTGTAGCAGATACGGATTTCATTTCATTCTTGACACTATTTAATTTTCTGTCAGATTAATTTGCCAAATTAAAAACAATTACAATTTAATCAAAATTATATAGATCTGACTCATTAAGCAGCAGATTATTTTTAATTGATGGAACAGTTTTTTCCCACAATGCAGGTGCAACAGTTGTTTCAATTGCTGTATGTACAAATGAGGGGAATCTCTGATTAAATTCACAGCGTTTCAACTTTGGCATCAAGTTACTAAGCTTTATTTTAATAGGTTGATAAACTTATTTGGTTTTTAATGGTATTTTCACTAAACAAATTTTCGAATTTATGACAAGAACTACTATAAATTAGTTTACATTTCAGTTGTTGGGAAAGGTAAAGAGAAGATAATCCCCATAGATATCGTCAATATTATTCACTCAGAGTTTTGCTATTTGGTAATACATTATGCACGGGTTTGTGTAGGTCAAAAATAATATACTTCATTGAGTTTATTATCAAGTTTTTTCCAACAAATTGATCATTTATTTGTCTTCAAAAGTTCAATCAGTGATAATCACGTCAATAAAGTACGAGCATTCGAGTGAACATACTTCTTGTATGTTTATTTTGTATCACATTTTCAATGCCTCTCAGAACATTGTCATGGCTAACTGGAAAATACTTCCCCCATAGTCATTTTGTAGAAGATACGAGCTTCGAGTATTAAAGCATTTATTAAGAATTTTTGCCGCTAGGATTTCAAATGTTTTGACTGGTCGGTACCTATCAGCTGACTAATGTCCACTTCACAGAGCCACTCAAGGAGATACTACCTTGCTATATGTAGGAATATTACCAGAAATCAGAAACCATTTGAGAATTAGTTAATCGCTTTTACGTAAAATTACCTCACCTTGGAGTGCGAAAACAATGACAATTTGAGCATTTGAGTGGAAGCATGAGAACTGCGGGCACCATGAGAACCCATGCTGGGGCCGGGTGTTTGCTCAGCCATTCAAATGGCCACTTCAGTCGTGCCCGATCTCGATAGGAGCTGCCCTTATCGTCCGGTATAAAAGGCAGCTGACAGCTCTATAGTCCGAACAAAACCGAAAAAAATGCGAACGCAATCAGTTGTTGTGTTCCTGGTGCTGGCCGCTGTTGGCCTGGCCAGAGCCACCGAGTGGTGGGAGAGTGGCAACTACTACCAGATCTATCCGCGATCCTTCCGCGACTCCGATGGCGATGGCATCGGTGATCTCAATGGCGTCACCGAGAAACTGCAGTATCTCAAGGATATTGGCTTCACGGGCACCTGGCTGTCGCCTATTTTCAAATCTCCAATGGTGGACTTTGGCTATGACATCTCGGACTTTTACCAAATCCACCCCGAGTACGGAACCATGGAGGACTTTGAGCGTCTGATTGCCAAGGCCAAGGAGGTTGGCATCAAGATCATCCTGGACTTCGTGCCCAACCACTCGAGTGATCAGAGCGAGTGGTTCAAGAAGTCGGTGGACAGCGACCCCCAATACAAGGACTATTACATCTGGCACGATGGCAAGATCAACGAAGAGACCGGCGAACGGGAGCCACCCAGCAACTGGGGCTCTGAGTTCCGATACAGCGCCTGGGAGTGGAACGATGTGAGGCAGCAGTACTATCTGCACCAGTTTGCTGTCCAGCAGCCTGATCTGAACTACCGCAATCCGGTGGTAGTTGAGGAGATGAAGAACATCATTCGCTTCTGGCTGGCCAAGGGCGTCTCTGGTTTCCGCATCGATGCGGTTCCGTACCTATTTGAGGTGGATCTGGATCGCTATAACCAGTACCCCGATGAGCCGCTGACCAACGATGCTGAGGCCTGTCCTGACCCTGACGACCACTGCTACACGCAGCACATCTACACCCAGGATCTGCCTGAGACCATTGACATGGTCTATCAGTGGCGGGAGGTGGTGGACACGTTCCAGGCGGAGCACGGTGGGGATAAGCGACTGCTCCTGACCGAGGCATACACCAGCTTCGAGAACATGATGCTGTACTATGGCAATGGCGTGCGTAATGGCTCCCACATCCCCTTCAACTTTGACTTCCTCTCGAACGTCAACAACGCCTCGACGGCGGGCACGTATGTGACGCACATCAAGAAGTGGATGGATGCCATGCCAGAAGGTGTCTATGCCAACTGGGTACTTGGCAACCACGACAACAAGCGCGTGGCCTCCCGCTTCGGAGTGCAGCGCACGGACCTGATCAACATCCTACTCCAGACTTTGCCGGGACATGCGATTACCTACAACGGCGAGGAGCTGGGCATGACCGATGTGTGGATCAGCTGGGAGGATACTGTGGATCCTCCGGCCTGCAACTCCGATCCCGAGCACTACTACGATCGGTCCCGCGATCCGGCCCGCACACCTTACCAATGGGATGCTTCTTCCAAAGCAGGTGGGTTGCTCATTAGTCGGAGCTCTCCTCTGGCCAACGTTCTCTAATTTTTCTTGGGATCTTTGGCAGGCTTTACCAGCGCCGATCACACCTGGCTGCCAGTGTCCGACGACTACAAGACCAAGAATGCTCTCCAACAGTTGCGCGCTCCGCGTTCACATCTACAGATCTTCAATAAGTTGTTGCGCGTTCGCAAAGAACCGTCCTTCCGCCAGGGAGATCTGAACATTGAGGCCATCGATGATGATGTCATCATCTACTCGCGGTGAGTAACACAAAATGAACTCCAGCGCCCCCCATCACAAAAGCCTTTTTTATTTAGCCAAAAGAGCGACAGCGATCTCTATGTGATTGTCCTCAACCTGAGCGGAACGGCCAAGACCATTGACATAACCAAGTACTTCAAGTTGGGTAGCCAGGCGGAGGTTATCACCACCTCCCTGAACTCCCAGCACATCGACGGAGATGTCGTCAATCCCTCGGCGTTTGTGGCTAATCCCTACGTGGGCACAGTCCTCGTTGCTGTTAATTAAAGTTATATTTTGCAATCAAGTATTGTTCAGTGCTATTAAATTAAATAATTTTCCTCAAATTAAATTGGTTATCAATTCTCTTCCAAGGCCTAGAAGTATGCTGTTCCCGTGATTTAAGTTGAATACTACTATTAAACAATTATTTTTAAAGCTTATAATTGGTCTCTTCTAGATAAGAAGATAACAGTAATGTTAAGCATGGACCTAGGATATAAAAAATGAAAATCACAGGTCATGCAATTTATCAAGCAAAAAACTATGTTTATTGATCAACTTCTGATCTAGTTCCTCTCCCTTAATCGGATATGAAGACCGTTGATAGACTTAAGTGTGATCGCGGAAGACAGAATTGGATCGTATTTGTGTCGATATGCTTCTTTCTTAATTTTCTCCGCTGTGGGTAAGCCCATAGTAGTATTAAGATATCCGTCTTTAGACTCCAGTCCATCTACGGCGGGCAGAACCTCAAAGTTGCGCACTATCTTGGATACCACGGTCTTTATCTGCAGTATGGCGAACTTCTGGCCAATGCAGTTGCGGGGACCGGCACTGAAGGGCACGTATTCGAAGGGACCGGGTTTTTCCAGCTCAAATCGTTCGGGTCGGAATTTGTGGGGATCCTTGAACACACGATCATCGTAGCCGAGCATAATGAGTGCCAAATTTAGGGTGGTACCTTTTGGCACGAGGTCACCATCTGTAATAGTTAACATAGAGAGCAAGAGAGTTACAAAAAGGCTCCTGTTGAAAAGTTTATGCATTTACCAATTAAATGATCCTTTTCGGTATAGCGACCAATGAATGGTACGCTGGGATAGACGCGCTGGGCCTCTTTGATGAACAGATCCAAATATTTCATTTGTGCGATTTCCTGGTAGGTTGCGTCTCGACCCATTTCGGAGTCACCCATCACTTCGCGCTGTTCATCGAATAATTTTCGTTGCTCGTCTTGGTGTCTGGAGAGCAAATACATAGCGAAAGAAATTCCCGAAGTGGTCGTATCGTGGCCTGCAAATATAAATGTGGAGACTTCCTCGTACAGCTCTTGGGAAGTCAGAGGGCGACCGTCAACTGTTGCTGAGAGTAAGGTATCCAAAAATGCCATCTTCTTTCCGGAAAACTCATCGCCCTGGCTTGTTGAAGCGGTACCGTCTTTGTGGGCCTTGACGCGCTTCTCGATGACATCGTGGGTGAAGTCCCGAAGGGTCTTCAGCGTCTTACAATAGGCGGGGTAGTCGGGGGCCAATCGATAGAGCATTTGATTACGCTTCCACACACTGAAGGACCTCACGCTTACGTTTTCGCATATGCTACATGAGGACGGATCTGATGTTCAGAGAACGGAGATGCGAAGTCGTTAAATACTTACTCCCTGAATGCTTGCGCTATGTCGGACGTTCGGTTTTCCATTGCGTTAATGGACACTCCCATGGCTGTGTTGCAAATTACATCTAGGGTCAAGTAGGCGACCTGATCCTGAATATCGAAAATACTATCCCCAGCTGACACATTTTTCAGTTTCTGCACGAATTTGGTGGAATATTCGTCCATCACCTTGTGGAAGTCTTGCAGGATGTTGAAGTGGAAGGAGGGCGTAATCATCTTTCGATGCTTGTGCCACCTACTGCCCATGCTATTGACTAGGCCCAAACCCAACCATGGTTGGGTTAGAGCATAGTTATAAGCTTTTTTTATCAGGGTCTGACTGGTGAGTATATACTGTGAAGGAAAAGCAGATGCCTTATTTCCGTTAGATGTTTTCTTTAGGAACTCACCTCTATGTACTTGGGCTTTGTGACCATAATATTGGGTTTAGGTCCTATCCAGAAGCTGAAGTTATCCTTATCGTATTGGTACCACCAAGCAAATAGCTGGTCGAGAATTTCTAAGGAGAGTGTATGTCGCACTTTCATTAAATTTGCTGCTATTTATACACCACTCACCTGTAGGATTTTTACCCATCTGATGGGCATTGCCGACGATGGCCAATCGTTTGGGTCCATGGAACTTTTTCAACAATCGTCTTCGCCGGAATGTTGTCAACTCCTGGTAGAGCCACACGAGCAGCGGCAAGGCCAGAAACGCATATAACACCAGCCACATTTTCGATCCCGACAATATGCCTTTCAGTGCTCGGTAAATTAAGAATATGGCATTAGATTGTGGTCTGCGCAAGTCTTAAATAGAAGCGCAACCGACACAATTCTCATATTTTTCGTCTGTCTGTTGACAACGTCGACTAGACACCGTACGCTCATCGTGATTCGGCAGTTTGTAAGCTTTGTGTCTATAACAGTGATAAGTGTGGGGGGCGAGCACCGTCATTATGGCATTGCCATTTATGCCCGTGGGCATTTCATGATGATTCTCAGAAACTTTCTGTTTCTTCTAGAACTGGGAACTTATACATATTTGATATATCATTGGTACCTTTCACATTTAGACGTGTTTCAATTCGTGTTTGGGGAAATGCCTCTTTGATTATCCGTAGGTTGTCTTACATCATCGAGTCTGATATTTTTTTTTGGTAGTCTAGTTCTAGACTCTAAAATCGGAGCTTAGTATCGGTGGACTTACCACTTAAAATACTGTAGGTGCTTGAGAATGAATGTGTTATGTATTTACGTAAATATTTGGAGCTAAATCGTATGCTTACTTGTGTGTTGTACTGACCTGCGCAATTGAGAAGTTGTTTTTATCTGTTCTTTCATCAATCCTAAAAATATGCTGTTCCCATTAATATTGGCTCCAAGTAGTGTATCGTTCAGTTTACGGTACACTAGAAAAGAATAGAAAACTTTTTGATTCAAACTAAAAACGAGAACACAAAAGAAGAGAATAATTATATATTATTTTAACAAGTGTAACTATAAATATGCATAGTTATGTTTTATAAATTATAATTTAGCACTTTCATTTTTTTTAACAGTAATCACCCTGTTTTTAGAAATCCTCTTAAGTATGCAACATAGTCATGGTATACTATACTATGGAATACTACGGTATAGGCAGCTGTTATATATGTACATATGTATGCATGGCTATGTATTCAACCGCATCGATATCTCTTGTTCTCTACCGTCGTTCGCTCCCATACATCCACTACGCGCGAACATACACACCAACTATTTATATGAGAGCTGAGAATAGCAAGATGATTCTTTTAAATGCCAGTGCCAATACCGTTTACTTTAATATCATTGCCTAAAACCTTTCTTTGAGGCGAAGGTAAATTCCATTCTCTGACTTCAGGCTCATCGCGACTAACAGAATAGGATCGTATTTGTGTTGTTGCAAGTCGCGTTTCCTCTTCTCTGTAGGCGGCAAGCCTAGCGTTGTTCTTATGTAACCATCCTTGGAGGCAAGCTCATCCAGGGCAGGCAGCACCTCAAAGTGGCGAATAATTTTGGATACCACCGTCTTGATCTCCAGCAGAGCGAACTTCTGGCCAATACAGTTGCGGGGACCGGCACTGAAGGGCACATACTCGAAGGGACCGGGTTTCTCCTCCTCGAATCGTTGGGGTCGGAATTTATGGGGTTCCTTGAAAACACGATCATCGTAGCCGAGCATAAATATTCCCATATGGAGTGTGGTACCCTTAGGCACGAGGTCTCCGTCTACAAAAAGGAATTACAGAATTATCCAAGTTCATTTTTTTAAAGTGAGCTATTAACCAATCACATAGTCCTTCTCGGTATAACGACCGACGAATGGAACACTGGGATAAACGCGCTGGGCCTCCTTGATAAATAGATCCAAATATTTCATTTCAGAGATTTCCTGGAAGGTTGCTTCACGATCCAGTCCGGAATCACCCATCACCTCGCGCTGCTCTTCGAATAATTTTCGCTGCTCATCTTGGTGTCTGGAGACCAAATATAAGGCAAATGAAATTGCCGAAGTGGTCGTATCGTGGCCTGCAAATATAAATGTGGAGACTTCCTCGTAAAGCTCTTGGGAAGTCAGAGGGCGACCGTCAACTGTTGCTGAGAGTAACGTGTCGAGGAATACCATCTTTTTCCGTGAAAACTCATCGCCGTGGCTGGCTAAAACGGTACCCTCTTTGTGGGCATTCAAGCGCTTCTCGATGACGTCGTGGGTAAAGTCCTGCAGGGTCTTCAACGTCTTACAATAGGCGGGGTAGTCGGAAGCAAATTGATATAGCGTTGGATTTCGCTTCCAAGAACTAAATGTTCTTACTTTTATGTTGTAACACATGCTATATAATATAAAGAGAAGCTGCTTTTAAGATACATTCAAATTTAGGTCAAGATGTGAAGATTTGTAAAAATGCCGTGGCTTCACTATCGAAATTGCCGCAATGCACCCAATACGTACTCTTTGAAAGCTTGTACTAATTCCGAGTCTTGGTTTTCCATTGCATTTATGGATACTCCCATGGCTGTCTCGCAAATTATATCCAGAGTCAAGAAATGGGCCTGCTCCTGAAAGTCAAAAATGCTGCCCCCACCCGACACGTTTTTCAGGTGCTTGATGAACTTTGTCGATTTCTCATTCATCACTTCGTGAAAGTCCTGCAGGACATTGAAGTGGAAGGAGGGCGTAATCATCTTTCGATGCTTGTGCCATTTGCTGCCGGTGCTGGTGAGGAGGCCCAAGCCCAGCCAGGGCTGCATGAGGCTATAGACTTCAGCTTTCGATATTAGTGTCTGACTGCTTAGTATGAACTAGCGAGGAAAACAAAATAAACCAACTAATATAAGCTATAAAATGTGTATGTCGCTTAATTACCTCGAAGTACTTGGTTCTGGTGACCATTAAATTCGGGTAGTAGCCGATCCAGTAGCGAAAGTTATCCTTGTCATGCTGATACCACCATTCAAACATTTGGCCAAGAATCTCTGTAAAGTTGAGAGAACAAACTTATTCTTAATCGGATCAAATACAGTATATTTCAAGCATCTTATCTGATAAGAAGGTTTCAAAGGTGCTCACCCACAACAAGCAGATCAAAGTCTTCTTGTTATCGTTGCACAAAGTTTCTACGTTATCGAGAGACCAAGGACCATGTACTCTCTAAACTCCATTTCCGCTCACCCACCTGGAGGAGTCCTACCCAGCTGATGGGCATTGCCAACGACAGGCAAGACCTTCGGCCCCTTGAACTTGTTCAGTACTCTTCGTCTCCGAAGTGACTTTAGCTCCAAATAGGCCAGCCAAAGGAGCGGAAGCGCCAGGACCAAATACAACGCAAACCACATTTCCGATCCGACCAGCACAACCGAACAGCGCACGAAACTCTGCGATTATGAGTGGCCATCTGGCCAGCAATAGCGATGGCACTGAAGTACCCGAACCGAGCCGAATGGTTTAAGTTATCATCCGATCATGTCCGATAAGACGGTAAATATATATATCAAGAAGCTATGCCTTATCTTTACACCAAAAAGCTATAACTTAAACTAACGAACCTTCTTTTTTTCTTATATGTATCTATAATATATCTATACTCGTATCTTCCTTCGTTGACAATCACTTTCACAATTATATGCAAGACAATGAAAACCTACCTAAATTATCGACCATAAAGTTCTCTCTGTTTATCTCTAGCGACTGAGCTTTAGATAAGTGTGGACTAGGTCAGGTTGTTTTTAACAGCTGAGTGACTAGGGAAGTGATCTTCCAAGTTTTTCTACTTGCTTATGTGAAAGCCGTAAGCCCAAGCGTATGCCACGCAATCTTTTCTTTGGAGTTTAGCAATTATTGAGCTTCTTGGACTCTCGACTTAGACTGATCTGCGGAACATGAATTTTATTAAATAAGCAAAACGAATTAGGATATAATATTCAACAATAACGTTTATTCTAACCCGTAGAGACTAGTGCCTTTCCTTAAGGCGTATAAAGAGACCATTCTCGGCCTTCAGGGTCAAAACAGCAGAGAGAAGAGGATCGTATTTGTGGCGAAGCAAGTCGCGCTTCTTCCTTTCTTCAGGCGGATATCCTAGGCTAGTACTTATGTAACCATCCTTGGAGGCAAGCTCATCCAGGGCAGGCAGCACCTCAAAGTGGCGAATAATTTTGGACACCACCGTCTTGATCTCCAGCAGAGCGAACTTCTGGCCAATGCAGTTGCGGGGACCGGCACTGAAGGGCACATACTCGAAGGGACCGGGTTTCTCCAGCTCAAATCGTTCGGGACGGAACTTGTGCGGGTCCTTGAACACACGATCGTTGTAGCCAAGCATGACGAGTGCCAAATTAAGGGTGGTACCTTTCGGCACAAGATCGCCCTCTGCAGGATGAAGAGAAAAGTTATCAAACGGTTTATTTCGAGACCGCCAATAAGCTACCAATAATGTAGTCCTTCTCAGTATAGCGACCAATAAATGGTACGCTGGGATACACGCGCTGTGCCTCCTTGATGAACAGATCCAAATATTTCATTTCAGAGATTTCCTGGAAGGTTGCATCACGATCCATTCCGGAGTCACCCATCACTTCGCGCTGTTCATCGAATAGTTTTCGTTGCTCGTCTTGGTGCCTGGAGAGCAAAAAAACAGCAAAGGACACTCCCGAAGTGGTTGTGTCGTGTCCTTCAAACATGAAAGTAGAGACTTCTTCGTAAAGCTCCTGAGTCGTAAGCGGGCGACCGTCGATCGTGGATGACAGCAAGGTGTCAAGGAAGGCCATTTTCTTGCGAGAGAACTCATCACCTTGACTTGCCGAAACGGTTCCGTCTTTGTGGGCGTTGATACGCTTCTCGATGATATTGTTGGTAAAGTCCTGCAGGGTCTTCAGAGTCTTGCAATAGGCTGGATAGTCGGGAGCCAAGCGAAAGAACAGGTCATTACGTTTGAACGGATGAAAGGCTCTCATGTTGATGCAGTAGCACATGCTATACGAGAGAAGGCCAGCTGTCAACAGAATTCATAAGTCAATACTGTCAATACTTACTCCTTGAAAGCTTGAACAATGGAGGAGCTGCGATTTTCCATTGCGTTCACGGACACTCCCATGGCAGTGTCGCAAATGACATCCAGAGTCAAGTAATGGGTCTCGTTCTGAAAGTCAAAAATACTGTCGCCGGCTGCCACTTCCTTCAGCTGCTTGATGAACTTTGTAGAGTTTTCGTTCATCACTTCGTGAAAGTCCTGCAGGATGTTGAAGTGAAAGGAGGGCGTAATCATCTTTCGATGCTTGTGCCATTTGCTGCCCGTGCTGGTAAGCAAGCCAAGCCCCAGCCATGGATGGGTAAGGTTATAGATATCGGACTTGGTAATCAGTGTCTGACTGCTGAGTATGAACTGGAGAAGGCAAAAACAGAATAATTCTGGGAGATTTTCGATGGAGAGTTGGTTGTACTGCTTACCTCCAAGTACTTGTGATTGGTGATGATCAAATTGGAGTAAGATCCTATCCAAAAGCGAAAGTTATCTTTGCCATACTGATGCCACCAAGAGAATACCTGGTCGAGAATCTCTATAGGGTGAACAGAACAAACTCATTGTTAGTCGGAGCACAGGCAACACATTTCAATGGGGTGCGCAGTTCACATTCAGATTCTAAAGGCTTTCAATGTTTGTACATATGTATGTACGATTGAGAACGAGTTTTTCATTTAGATTGACACGCAATGATCTGTCGAAAATTTTCACATGAAATCGCAGTTAATTTCGACTGTATCACACGTAGTTTTAGTTTAAGTAAACACTCTGACCAAAGTCTCAATGCTATCTTCACAGGAGATTGTCTGGTGAGCAAAGCAACTAAAGAGCATGTATGTACATATGTTTATGGATGTTCGAGTACATGGGGCATAGGCTTATCAGCTGCTATGCACTGTTTCTGTTTTTATAGTTGTTGTTTGGCCGCAAACAACCCAACTGGAATAGCACTGCCGCTGAGAAAATTACAAATGCAGTCATCAGTCACAACGCTATTCGAGACGGGTTGTTTCAGTCGTACTCCGATTCAGGAGACAAGGAGATTCGATGGACCAGCACACACCTGTGGGATTCTTGCCGGCCTGGTGGGCATTGCCCACGATTGGTAACCGGCTCGGACCCTTGAATTTATTCAGAGCTCTTCTGCGCCGAAACGTGCTCAGCTCCAGATAGGCCACTAAAAGCAGGGGAAGCGCCAGAAACAAATACAACACGAACCACATTTTCGATCGCGACTCTGTCAACCTCTCCGTTCGCGGGGGACTACGAAAATGGGAGTGTAATATGGTCGGCTCTGGCTTTAAATACTAATAATGATAGCGTTCGACTCCTCAATCCGCACGCTCTCCCGCCGCTCTCTCTTTATCACTCTCTATATCGCAGGGCAGCTGCCAAATCTTGGAGTAACTCGCTGCCTTCATATGTATGAATACACATTCACATAAACATACATATATAAGTATTTTGATGCGTTCAGCGTGACTCGGCATTTACCAATTCAAGTTTTTGACTATTTTGACCAACATTAGTTTATAACGGAGCTGAAGTTGGTAAGAGAGCGCAGTCATTGTGAAAAGCACTATACCGATTCTACACAAAGTTCCTTTGTTTTTATTATCGCACAAGAAATTCCATCCACTCTACCATCCACTCTACTTACTACGGTTCGGCATATCCACTTATGATTATTTCTCTGTTTATTTGAGAAAGAGAGGAAAACACACCCGAAAAAGGTAAACAAATGTCTGGTACATATGCACATATGTACATGCGTGCATGCCTAATTTGGAGCCAGAGAGAGTTGAGTTGGTTAATAAAAAGAGAACGAGAAATCGGAAATTAATGAAAGAGTTTTGTTCTACATGTCAATGTTGAAGCATAGTTTTGCCACATTCAGCTATGCCCAAAAGTATGCCCTTTAACGGAGCGTCCAACCTAACAGCCGAATGAATGCCATGTTCAATTGAAACCTTTTTATACCCGATACTCAAAATGAGTATTGGGGTATATTAGATTTATGGTAAAAGTGGATATGTGTAACGTCCAGAAGGAATCGTTTCCGACCCCACAAAGTATATATATTCTTGATCGGCATCAATAGCCGAGTCAATTGAGCCCTGTCTGGCTGTCCGTCTGTCCGTCCCTATTAGCGCCTAGTGCTCAAAGACTATAAGAGCTAGAGCAACGATGTTTTGGATCCAGACTTCTGTGATATGTCACTGCTACAAGAAAATTTCAAAACTTCGCCCCGCCCACTTCCACCCCCACAAAGGACAAAAATCTGTGGCATCCACAATTTTAAAGATACGAGAAAACCAAAAACGCAGAATCATAATTAATGACAATATCTATCAGATTGCTGAATCTGGATCAGATCATTTTTATAGCCAAAAGGAACAAATCAATTTGTAGTGGCTACGCAGCGACCGACGTCACGCTCAGACTGATTTTCTGTCTCTCTCGAACGCACTCTTTGTCGTTTCGTTCAATATTAGCGGCGTCTGCCGGAGGCGAGCTGTAGAGTTGCGGTCTCCGCAGCAACTCCCAACGTTCCCCCTCGTTTCGTTTTAGAATAGTTCTTAAATAATTTAGTAAAATTGGTAAAATTTGACAATTTTGTAGTAAATAAATCAATTTATTGTATACAATTACTCGTATTTGTTCTTCGAAAATCTCCTTGTAAAAAAGTATTTTCTGTGCCAATACTTCAGGTTCGTGTTTGCTTGTAGAAATCATTAATATTTGTTTAATTAAATCAATAATAGCTATTTCCTCTGACTGTGTTAGTCATACCAACACCCTTTCTTTTCTGTTTCTCAAACAAACACATACTCGTAGTAATATCAGTTGATTAACAGAACAAATAGAACAACCTTTAGACCCACGCGTCATTACCGCACAGTAAAGTGAGTCAAGTTCTTTACCTTGGCTAGGCCAGAACTAGTGTAATTCGATTCACCAATTACCGAAAGGGGCATGTCATAAAGAACTACCATGTTAATTGAGAGATTGATAGTGTTATTTGAAGCGTTTGCCGAAAAGCAATTGCTGACTACCAGAAAACAGCACAGACAAACACACCCACGCACACGCACACAAACTAGTTGGCTGAAGAAAGTTAAGGTAAGATAAGCTATCGATGGGGTTATCGGTGGGAAACATTTGTCACCTCCATAGTACGTATAGTCAGACCTCGAAGTAGAACAAACAGTTTGAAAGTAATAGCCGAGGAGCACAGTTAATCGGGATCATGTTTTTGATTGCAATTGCCATAATTTTGGCCACCATTTTGGTGTTCAAAGGTGTCAAGATATTCAACTACATAGACCACATGGCTGGCATTATGGAAATGATACCAGGACCAACGCCCTACCCCTTTGTGGGCAATATATTTCAGTTCGGTCTGAAGCCAGCGGGTGAGTACCATTCCATCCGCCTGCCTATATTTATGTACTCTTGAAGGTTCGTTGGATAATAGCTTTTTCTGATCGAATTTAACATGTGCTGAGATGGGAATTGTGCATTTTATTCATAAAAAGTGCATTCGATTTCTTCCGGGACTGGGATGTACGCTTCGCTTTTAGCTTAACGATTTGTTTTTGATTTTCTCGCAGTATTGTATGTTGTCGTACTTGTTGCAATTTTCATCAAGTTCTCGGCGCTTTTCCCAAGTGCTTTTCCACGGCACAGCTGAATAATTCGGTATTGTTTTCCCTTTGCCATGCACGTGCCTAAAGCAATCATTCCAAATGCACAATGGCCTGGGGCTTGCACAGAGAATGGATGCTGCACATCAACTGATAGTTTTGCATGGTCGGATGGTTGCTTCCCGGCAGAGCCTGTTGTCCATTGTTGCCAGCCAGCTTAGACTGCTCTTCAATTGGATTCGCCTCCTCAAATGCATGAACCGTGAAGAAAAGTGAAAAGCGAGTATATTCACCGGTTGAGGCTCAACTTCAATCATTTGCCAGTGCACTTTTTGATGCATTTAATGAGCTCCAACCATTCCATAGCGACTTCCATTTATAACCATATCTTATTTTGGGGCTCAAACTTAATCAGGGAGACTTGAGGTTGCCCAAACCCACAGGCTGCATTCACATGTTGGCATTCACATTTCGTTTCGAACATTGGGATATGGGTTCACCAATGCCGCAGTCAAGTGACAGCTACCTGAAATGTACATATATGTGGATGCAGATGTACAAATCCAGACTACAATCTCAAGTGTAGATTCCACAACAGACTTGTGATGGAAAATTAAACTTTTTAGTGCCTAACATTCTGGCTTCATGTTACTTTTTCCACAGAGTATCCGAAAAAGGTTTTGCAGTATTGTCGGAAATATGATTTTCAGGGATTTCGTTCATTGGTCTTCCTGCAGTATCACATGATGCTTAGTGATCCAGCGGAAATTCAGGTGAGTACCCACTCCAACACACACTCGCACTCCACATTTACGAGTATGGCATTGTGTTCGACTTGCAGAACATTTTGTCGAGTTCATCTCTGCTGTACAAGGAGCACTTATACTCCTTTTTACGACCCTGGCTTGGCGATGGCCTCCTAACCAGTTCCGGTGCCCGTTGGCTGAAGCATCAAAAGCTCTATATGCCGGCCTTTGAACGGTCGGCCATTGAGGGCTATCTGCGTGTGGTTCATCGAACAGGCGGCAAATTTGTGCAGAAGCTCAATGAACTGACAGAGACGCTGGAGATTTTCGACGCCCAGGAGCTGGTGGCCAAATGTACTCTGGATATTGTGTGTGGTAAGTGAAGGATTCGCTTTCGAACAGAGCAGAGCAGCGCGACCCATGGAAAACTTTGCACATTTGTCATGTCGGAGTTTTCTGGGGCAGAGCCTCGCTCTCCTGCGTTTGGGCGCTCCGCTCGTTTATTTTTTTTTGTAATTTATTATGAACGTTTTACAAAGAAGATTTATTGCATAGAAAATGGCTACAAGTGCCGCAGATTGTAGGAAAAAGTTTTGGCCGCTCGCAAAACCTGCGGTTGAGGTACATTCCCTTTTCCTCTCCACAATACGAAACATTTTGATATTCTACGGTTAAGATGGTTTTTGAAATATTCCTCGACTAACTGGGAGTAATTTATTAACCATTTTGAAGTTTCGTCTAGCTTCGTTTAGCCTCTACTTGACCATAATCAAGCCTTAAGTTCTGCCTTTTCTGTTCCCTCTGTTCTTTTACTCAGAGAACGCCACTGGTCTGGTCAGCAACTCACTCAACGATGAGCCGTCCGATTTGCATGGGGCCATCAAGGAGTAAGTATAATCTCTGTCAGGTCATCCGCCGAGAGTCGAGTCCCTTTTACAGTCCTTACTCATCCCTAGTCTCTGCGATGTCGTCCAGGAGCGCACCTTCAGCATCGTGAAGCGTTTCGATGCCCTCTTCCGCCTCACGTCGTACTACATGAAGCAGCGAAGAGCACTGTCTCTGCTCCGCAGGGAAATCTACCGAGTAAGTACCTCAGTACAAGGGATTGCCTGGGCGTGCTTTAATATTCAATATTTTCCTTTAGATTATCACGCAGCGACGCCAACAACTGGCGGATGAGAACACTTGTGGGGAAAGGACCAAGCAAATCAATAAACCATTCCTTGATGTCCTCCTGGCTGCTAAGCTAGACGGGCGTGCCCTTAAGGAACGAGAGATTATAGAGGAAATATCCACATTTATATTTGCAGTAAGTGCTCCAAGCCAAGTGATCTTCAGTTTCGATAAATGGTTTTCATTGATATAGGGTCACGATCCAGTTGCTGCCGCCATTTCCTTCACCCTGTACACACTCTCCCGGCACACGGAAATTCAGCAAAGAGTTTTCGAGGAGCAGCAGCGCATCTTTGGCCAGGATCTCACGGCAGAAGCGGATATAGGCAGGCTGGATCAGATGCGCTACCTGGAGCTGGTCATACGCGAGACACTGCGTCTGTACCCGTCCGTCCCGCTGATAGCGAGAACCAACCGCAAACCCATCGATATCAGTGAGTAGTTAGACATGGAATCAAAGTCCTATGGAGAAACATTTCAGTCTACATTCCCCCACTTGCAGACGGCACAAAGGTGGCGAAACGCACCACGGTCATTATGTGTCTGATTGCCATGGGTTACAATGAGAAGTACTTCGAGGAGCCGTGCGTCTTCCGTCCAGAGAGATTCGAGACTGCAGGCGCAGATGTCGGCATCGAAGCCTTCAAGAGTGTCCCCTTCAGTGCTGGGCCCAGGCGTTGCATTGGTAGGGTCTCTTCCTAAGAACCAACCTTATCAACTGACTAACTCAATCATTTGTCCGTTTTTTAGCCGAAAAGTTTGCCATGTATCAGTTGAAGGCCCTGCTATCTCAGTTGGTGCGCAACTTCGAGATCCTGCCCCCTGTAAATGGCTTGTCTTCCGGCATCAACGATCACTCCCAGGTAGAGTGTGTTCCCCAGAGCGAGTACGATCCAGTGCTGAATATTCGGGTGACTCTCAAGTCGGAGAATGGCATACAAATCAGGCTGGGCAAACGAGCATTTGTGGAGTGATTTAACCCAAAGCGTTATAGACTAAAAATTTAAATTATATCCATACTGAAAATGTCAATGCCAATGTATCCCGGTTTGGTCTACAGACTTAGTCTATTCTCAGACATTGCAAACCATTGTTTGCACCATCAAAGTTAACTTGGAAAATATTTCATTTTGATTAGCACTCCATTAAATAGTCGCTGCTAATGAATATTCATTTGGAGGTTTGGCAGTTTCGTTTTATATTTTTGTTTTATTGCATAATTCACACAACCTACATACATACATATGTGCATAAAGGTATTTGATAATCCCAAAGACAGCATTCCAGTTCATAAAATAAACCACAGAACAGCACCATCTTGGCTGACCTTTACTTGGGTCGGTTGGAGTGTGGCACATCATTATCAGACTTAAAATCGGAATCTTCTGGAATCATTCTTCAATGATTCAATGAAGTCCACTTATCTAAAATTCGACATATATTAGATAAATTCCTTCAGGCACCCCAATAGCGACAGGTTACTTTACCCCTTAGACAGTCATAACATACTCGTATTTACGATTCTGGTTTTGTCACCTCGAAGCGAATCTAATTGAATCTAAATGTATCAGACAGCCAGATTGGTCAAGACAAAGGGGAACACTTGAAACTCCTAACCCAAGTAAAATAGAAATGTCTAGGAATCTGAAATCTTCAATTATTACCAGAATATTTTAGTTATAATGCTTTCAGATTCACCGGAATTACATCCACGGGGTGTGTGTAATAACAGCCGTGGGCAAAACCTTTAAAGCTATTTTTGTTTGATATATCACCTTGAATAATTATATTTGAGCTTAGATAATTGTATTTATTTTTACATCATGCTGTTCAGAACCTAACTAAGAAGCAGCAACTAAGAAAATTCCGAGTCCAAACTTGCTGTTCCGAAACGTTCCGAAGTCATAGTCGAGTATGCGCCTATTCCTTGCTGGGGTGGGCCTGGATCCAGGCCAGAGACTTCAGGATGGCCTCTGGGATTGGTGGGGCGACGGGCAGAAGATCGCTAGAGGGCTGGTAGCCATTCTCATCGGCCTTGTAGGCGACGCGAACGTGGACACCCTCGGGGGAGACCCACTCGAAGACGCCATCAATGTTGCCGTGCACATCGCCGCTGGCCTGGGAGGCAGAGCCGTCGCTCAGGGACACCACTGTCTTAAAGCCATCGGGATTCACCTCATTGACCAGCTCCTTGACCTCGGCATTCTCGTTGGCGGCCACAAGGGCGGCAAGGGCGCAGACAAGTAGCTGCAAGGGTTGATTATTATTACCTGGTCCTATGTAACGCTATCCAGGCTTGGAGATACTTACGATCTTGAACATTTTGATTTGGACTCTGATTTGATTGTCTGACTAGAGAACTTGTGAGACTGATGCCAAAATAAATGCGATTATCGCTTTTATACGCTAAAGTCAACCTTCAAGCTCGAGCTCGAGGCTGATGCAACCCGTTTTCAATTAACATTTCGGTTTCGTTTTCCATAATCTTTACCAGATCATCCTATGTGTAGAGTTTGGACGATTAGGACAATAAAAACTGTGTGCTGCACTTTTTTGTACTCTTCTATGCAAATTAGCTCCATTATTATTCTGAAAATATTATCTGAGCTGGTTCTGTGATCCATTTAAGGCGACTTCCAGTGGCAGTTTAGATATTTCGTTGATTATAATCCGCCGCATAATTATCCAGACTATAACGGAAATTCTAAGCAAGCTCGTGCAGACAGTAATTAATTCATAAGAAAGTCAATATTCCAGTTTAGAATTGTAGCATGCTCGATCTAGTTGTTGCGTCAGATTTCACATATACTTTATAATATACCTAAAATTTTTACTCAAAATGAATTTGAAAAACCTCTCCATAGCATATTTTTTGGAGCTCTTTTAATTTTCGACGGTAGGTTTAGAAAATATATGTTCAAAACTTTTAAAATGTCTTCAAATATACAAAATTAGTGCACTTCACCCGTTTTTCTACTTTTGACAAATGTACTTTTTATCAATTTCGAGCTTTAAATTAAGCAATATTGAAATATCATTATTTAATCATCATTATTAATAATAGGTATTCCCGAAATTTTGCAAACTAAGAATCGCCTGGACTATAAATCGATTAACGATTGATCGTTGGACAAAGTCAGAAATGCTTTTGGGACTCTAAAACATTATCCTACCAAACATACCATGTTGTATATGGCTAAGTCGTTGACAACTACTTAAAATTTTTACTTTGCTATATACTTAGTATAATGGTATGTTTTACAGTTTTACGTAAAGCAACGTGCATACGTTTATGGTAGCATAATCTGAGAAAGACTTAGAATTCCTGTGGTCCATTTATTATTACCTAAATTGTTTCCTTAATTTTTGCCTCCAATAAAGTTTCATTCTATTTAAAAATTTATTTCGATTGTTTTCTTTAGAAAATATTATTTATTTTCAGTGTGCTGTTCATATTCTAAGTTGTATGCAGTGAGTCGGGATAATCCAAGCCCAGACTTTCTGCTTCGAGTCAAAGTGATGTCCTTGTCGATGATGTGCCTATTCCTTGCTGGGGTGGGCCTGGATCCAGGCCAGAGACTTCAGGATGGCCTCTGGGATTGGTGGGGCGACGGGCAGAAGATCGCTAGAGGGCTGGTAGCCATTCTCATCGGCCTTGTAGGCGACGCGAACGTGGACACCCTCGGGGGAGACCCACTCGAAGACGCCATCAATGTTTCCGTGCACATCGCCGCTGGCCTGGGAGGCAGAGCCGTCGCTCAGGGACACCACTGTCTTGAAGCCATCGGGATTCACCTCATTGATCAGCTCCTTGACCTCGGCATTCTCGTTGGCGGCCACAAGGGCGGCAAGGGCGCAGACAAGCAGCTGTAAGGGATATCCGTTATTCGAATTGTAGATGATCCAAAAGCGCTGGTGGGAACGGGAATACTTACGATCTTGAACATTTTGATTTTGTTTCAGGCAATAGAACTTGTGAGACTGATGATGATCTGGGACCAAGCATCGCTTTTTATAGGCCGAAATCAAGCCGCGGAACTCGAAGCTGATGCAACCCGTTTTAAATTAGCATTTATTCTTAGCATAAGCGGTGCCCGCCCATATGGACTGAAGTATCATATGCAAATCTTCCTGATGTTTAATCGTATTCTAAAATCATTCTCCATCCACGTGATGTGCAATGTCCAGGAGAGCGAGCGCATTAGCAAGCTCCATGTTTAATCATCTGAAATATAAGCTTGAATCGAACGGAAACAGTCTTTTTCTATGACATACGTGCATTTAAAAAATGTTCTATTGAATATGGTTTCATTGATATAGATATGCTTTTTTAAAAATTAATTAAAGATCCGAATCAAAATTTCTCTTTAATGTAGTTGCGTAGCATATTTTTCGGGGTCTTCGAAACCTTAATTCGAGTATGAAATCATGACAACTCTGTCAGAAAGCTGCATTTTTTTTAAAGTTAAAAGCTATTAGGTGTGTTTCAGAAATGTTTGATACTCTGAAAATTAAATTGGGAGATTACTTGTTTCATTTGGTCTGATTATGAATAGAGGGAGGAACTCTTCCGTACTTCTATGTTTGCTATAAAAGTATATACATATACGAATCAAAAGTCTTTACTAGCTAGGAGAACGAGTTTTTTTCAGGATTTAGTCCATTTCTCGTGTTAGGAAATCATTTTAGGTGACAAATATTATGACTTATTGGACTTACGTTTCCAGGTCCTCATAATTGATTTTTACGGTTTAGGGTTGTTCGGAAAGATAAGCAAATGTCCTCCCAATGTACCTTGAAAGGCTTATACCATTAGTTATAAGTAAGTTTATACCCAATTGACAAGTTCTCTAGTTCAAGGACAGAACACAGGTTACTGTACTGCACCTTCCGTGCATTATCGCTATTAAAGCATGTCTCATTTTATGTTCTATTCAGAAGCTTAATACCAGTTTTTTGACATTTGTTTCGCTGTTGTCGAGAGGAGAATTTATTGGCGCAGTATTGGCTAGCTTTATGGATATATCCGCCATCGAAGCCCGAAATAAAAAGCTTTGCTCGAGTAATTCGTTGTGAGAAACAAATGGATTAAGAATCATATATAAAGACTGTGCTCGAACAGAGTTAGTTATCAGTCAACGTTCGTTCACGGAAAGACAGAAATCAAGGATCAAAAATGTTCAAGTTTGTAAGTTGCTCAAATGATTACTTTTGGACTCAAAGACTCAACTACTCACGGATCCCTTACTTACATATTGGCCGTTTAGGTAATGGTCTTCGCAGTTTTGGGATTGGCAGCCGCCGTTGCTCCCGTTTCCCGCTCGGACGATGTCCACGCCGAGGTCAAGGTCCTCAGCTCGGACGTTCGGGCCGATGGCTTCGACACCGATCTCGTGGTTGATAACAGCATTCAGCAAGCCGCCAGCGGTGACATCCATGGAAATGCCCACGGTAGCTTCAGCTGGATCTCGCCAGAGGGCGAGCACGTTGATATCAAGTATGTGGCCGACGAAAATGGCTACCAGCCCGTGGGTGCCGTGCTCCCCACGCCACCACCAATTCCAGAGGCTATTGTCCGTGCCCTTGCCTGGCTGGAGGCTCACCCCCAAGCTCCGGAGCACGGAGTTCATCATTAAGGCTACCGCTGGATATGGATCGATTAACGGACTGTCCTATGGATGCATATCTCCCTAGTTGTGTAGCCGTACTACTTGATTTCCAGAAAAATACATGCATATGCTTAAAGCAGTAAAAAAACAATTCATAGTCTTCTTTAAATTAGCAAAACCGAACGGGACGTTCAGTACTATAGATGCGGTTTTATGATTTAATTAAGTAATTACACGTAATCGCTGGAACTGATATTGGCGCCGGATGCCGCATGCTCTCTCTCTCTCTCTCTGTCATTTGATTAAGGCGTTTAAAGGGCAGTTGCACTAAGTTTGAAACTTACTATTTACCTACTACTACTATTAATTAGTACAGTTGACTACGGATTGGAGCTCAATTTGACAAGCCCAATAGGTCATAGAACTGTATTACTCCTGGCGGATTTTCTAGCAAGGAATTTTACAAATAAAAACGTAACTTATCCAAAAATAAGTAGCCAATACTAGGTTCTGTGCCAACAGCTTATACAACTCGTTCGGATAAAGGATTCTATGGATTTGCTACCTCCTAGGCCCATAGCTCAAGAAAATATTCCCCGATTTCAGTATATTTAGTCTAGTAACTGTGCGTTAATTAATTGAATGTTTAATTGTATGAAGAACTAAGCAACAAATAAATGTTTTCGTATCGTAACGTGCTATAATTTTAAATGCCAATGAATTTGGCTCATTTTGATGAGCTTCAAACTTCTTGTATTTTGTAGATTCGATGAACGCTCAAATATATTATAAGCTTAAGGTCCATAGACCGATTGTTTCTATGGAAACTATATAAAATATGACACTTTTTTGTAAGGATGTTTGGATGATGATCTAAGTTCATTTAAGTTAGACTATACACAGATTTAATGGGATGTTGACCTTGTTCAATTTAATTCTTCCCACATATATAGGATTATAAAAATAATAATGTTTTAGTCAACTTTTCTATCTGAAAGGGATGAAAGCTAAAATCCCCAAGATTATCTGCTCGAGCACCAATATTCATTTCTTAGATGAATAACCAAACTTGGCAGACATGTTCCAAAATCCATGTCAGAAAAGGCGGAAACATCCAGATCAAACCGAGACCACACAATAAATCAACTTAGGCGCTAGGAGGAACATTTTTATGTCAATGCTTTGATGTTAAGCATCAGATTGCAGAATCTCTGTGCTGCGGAAGATTTGGTTTAAAGTAACGACAGGCAACAGCCAAATCGATTTAGAAGTTAGAAAGAAAGAGGGGGCTTTTTTTTTGGGAGCTTGATGAACTTGTTTTGCTTTCGGGATGCTGCCAGACCCGTTTGCACTTTTATTGATGCGACTGTTTCATTTTAGCATCTATTAACAGATTATACGCGTATATAGTAAGTGACACCGTTGTTTGGCATTTGCTCAGCTGTCGCCATGTGACGATTTTTTTGGTGCAACTGTTGTTGTCGGTTTTATGGGTGCGGGCGCATCCAATATGTCATCCCATAACTCAGAAACACAATTGAATGCAAGTTGTAGCAATTTGTTAGGTGAATCGACTGGATTAAGAACCATATAAAAAGACTCGACCCGACCAGAGTCAAATATCAGTCAACGTTCGTTCACGGCACGACAGCAATCAACAACCAAAAATGTTCAAGTTTGTGAGTAGCTCAAAGGACAGCCAGGGGACTCGAAGTTCTAATGGGTGAATCTCCATCCTCTCCGTCTAGGTGATGGTGTTCGCAGTTTTGGGAGTGGCCGCCGCCGGCGTAGCGCATGTTCCCCATCCTCAGGTACCCCACCCAGTGGGACGCTCCGAGGATGTCCATGCCGAGGTCAAGTCCGAGCACAGCGATGTTCGCGCCGACGGCTTCGATGCTGATCTCCTGGTGTCCAACAGCATTCAGCAGGCTTCCAGCGGTGATGTCCATGGCAACATCCACGGCAGCTTCAGCTGGATCTCGCCCGAGGGCGAGCACGTTGAGATCAAGTATGTGGCCGACGAGAATGGCTACCAGCCCGTGGGTGCCGTGCTCCCCACTCCACCACCAATCCCAGAGGCCATTGCCCGTGCCGTTGCCTGGCTGGAGGCGCACCCACAGGCCCCCGAGCCCGTTCACCATTCCCATCACTAAGGTCCCACCCTGAATACCGATCGCACCATGGACTGTTCTCTGGATACCTTTCTTTACCTAGTTTATAAGAGTTCTTCTTGACTTTCAAATACATGCAATGATTGCTAATGATTACAGTAACGAGATCATGACTTTGACTTTGCTACTTTCGATTGCATTCAACTGTAGCATAACGGTTTCGATTCCGACCTGTCCAACGGGTTTGCTACACTCGAATTTCGCTTTCGATTCTCGCAACTTTTTAGCACAATTAATTGATATTTTATTGCGCTCAATAAAGATGTCATGTCCGCCAAAATAACACAAAATTTTAAGAAAACGTGTTCTTCGGTGCTTTATAAAAGTAACAAAGGGTATATGAAGTTCAAATAGATCATATCATGTTCAAACTCCAAGTCATCTCTGGTATCTTTGCCACATATTTGCTGTTACTTTTTATACCCGATACTCAAAATGAGTATTGGTCCAGAAGGAATCGTTTCCGACCCTATAAAGTATATATATTCTTGATCAGCATCAATAGCCGAGTCGATTGAGCCCTGTCTGTCTGTCCGTCCGTCCGTTCGTCCGTCTGTACGTCTGTCCGTCCCCTTCAGCGCTTAGTGCTCAAAAACTATAAGAGCTGGAGCAACGATGTTTCGGATCCAGACTTCTGTGATATGTCACTGCTACAAAAATATTTCAAAACTTCGCCCCGCCCACTTCCGCCCCCACAAAAGACGAAAATCTGTGGCATTCACATTTTTAAAGATACGATAAAACCAAAAATGCAGAATCGTAGAGTATGACTATATCTTCTAGCGTGCAAAATCTGAACCAGATCATGTAATTATTATAGCCAGAATCAAGAAATCAATTTTATTCTTTCTCGCTCTGTCTCTCTCTAACACACAGGTTTCATGGTCGGTTTTGGCAATTGCAAAATATGAGTTCAAGGATATCAGAACCTATAAGAGCTAGAGCAATCAAATTTGGGTTCCACACTCCTGTGATATCGGACCTTGACCGTTTTGTGTCAAAATTTCGCCACACCCGCCACACCCACCGCCACACGAAAATCTAGGGTATCCACAAATCTCAGAGACGATTAACGCTAGAGTAACCAAATTTGGTATCCGCACTTCTGTTAGATCTCACTATAAAACGTATATCTCAAAATTTCGCCCCACCCCCTTCCGCCCCCACAAAGGACGAAAATCAGTTGCATCCACAATATTGCAGATTCGAGAAAACAAAAAACAGAGAATCATAGATAACGACCATATCTATCAGATATGTCATTTTTACTATTGCAACGAGATGGCGAATACCAAATCTTTGCCTTTTGATAAATATGATTCCGAAGTTTTCTTTTCATAGTATAATTAATTGTCGTAGAAAATTTAAAAACATGTATTATTGTCCAAAAGTTTAAACCCTAGCGGTATTGGACAGCAATGTACATGAAGATGATGAGGTTAACATCGTGTTTGAGGATATTTCTTTTAGAGAGAGAGGGAGTCTGAGAGGTTAGAGGCCGCTGAGGGTGGAAAAGACAGAGACGAAGAGATGGAGGGATATAATACAGCGATGTACTCAGGAGAGTACCGATTAGAGTCTTGGCTCATTTCTGTTCGTCTGATTGCAAAATCATTCTCATAGGCCGAATATCTGTCTTAAATCCTTAGGATAAAGGGTAGCACCTGCAAAGTGTTTCAACTAATAAGGCAAAAGAGAAACGTTATCAGCTTCTCATTCGATATTTGAAAGTGTCAAGAAACTACCCTGACCTTTTTGGGAATTATTATTAGCCAAATTTGTATAATTCATATTTATCTTCTCAATAGTGGCTAGAAGCAAGCTGGTCTGGGTGGAAAGTTTGATTCTGAGAAACGAGTTCACCTTATACAGCTTAAATTGAATATGCCCTAGATTTGAATAGAGCATGTTGTGGACGCAATTTTGAGCAATTTATCTCCTAACAAACCAGATTTGTTGTGCAGCTTAAAAGAGAAAAGAAATTAAGAATTGAATGCCAAAAGGCGCCAAGATGCAAATTTAAAATCCATAAACTGGCATTTGTCGTCATGCTGTTAGTACTACATTAATTTAACTGTTCTTATTTCGTTTCATGATAAAAAAAAATGAAACCAGTTATGGCCAAGAAACCGAATATTATGTGAACATGATGCCCCAGAGTCTCGTAAGTTTAAAAAGGGAGCTACTCTTTGGGTCAAAGAACTAGGGCCAACCTATAGTGTTATATAGTTATATTTGTGAGACAGTTATCTACCATTACCATTGAAAATCTGTCAATCGAATGCATCGAGCTTATTGAAATAAGCTGAATGCAGATACATGCCTTCGAGCTGTTTTGATATTCATAAGAGATGTAGAGCCCAGAGAAAATTCCATTTAAAGTTTGTAAGCTTTCACAATTCATGTGGTGCATTCACATGTACATATATGTACATGTTGTTTACTCATAAAATGCAATTAAGTAAATGTGGGCAAATGGGGATCCTGATGAGATGAGAAATTGTTGGGGAATTGTGTTCGTGCTCTGCTTTTTGGGGTGCAAGTGAATGTGGTCTGGGGTGGTTCTAGAAGGGTTTTAGGGTGCATCTAGATGGGTTTGGGGGATCAAATGCAAAACGAACTCGCTGCAGCTCGAATAGTCGAAGATATGTTCAAGTTCTGCTTAGGATTAATGAGCAAAGCTCTTCTGTTTGCAGCTTGTACATACTCGTATGTTGGTTTTAGTCAGAAACACTGTCAATACTTGTTGAAATATATATTCTAGCTTGATCCTGAAATGTTCTAAGTAAATATGACCATGTATGCATAAATTGTTGGGGGCGTGGAGATTCGTAGGCTATAAATTTAAAAATCTTTTCCATTACTAGAGAACATACATATTAAAATAAAGAAAAATTTATAACAATGCTAATCAATGTTTAATACAAATTAGAGTCTGAAATAGAGAGAACAATAGTCGGATAAACAAAGCATAAAATAGGAAAAAGGAAAAATGGCATTCAGAGGTATCAGAAAATAATTCAACTCGCCTCAGTTAATTAGCCCACAAATAACGTCAAAGGTAAAATGTGCTGGCCAAGTGCGAGGATACCGCAAACACGCACAATTTAGATTTGTATTGATGTGATGGATAAACATTTGTCTAAAATCGAATTTGGACATTAATTAAATGCCCATTTGCGGCGGAATAGATAGATGGCACTGATGGATAAACGAATTACATGGAAACGAGCCTGGAAGCACGCAGATGAGTGTGAATTTCCGCACTAATTAACGTGCGCTTTGATACGTTTGGTTATTATTATATTTTATTGGTACGTTTGATGCTAAATGATGGTTTCCAGACTGCGGACAGCCCACTGTTATGTGAATCGAAATGAGTTCTGTTTTGGTTTTGGTTTTGTCCTGCTGCTTGCCGAGTGGTATCCGGTTCTCAAGTGCTGCGCGGCGTTGAATCCGACCTTGAGCTGGTGCTGCCCACTCCCCCAAGGCTTAGCTCCGAGTCCACACCAACACCCCCTCGGCTGGCCTGCACTCACTTGCTGAACTTCAGACCAACTGCAAGGAAAGGGGGTAAAAGTGTGACAAAATAATTAATGGCAAAGTTCCTACTTAATGAGAAAGTCATTAAAGTTGTGCCATGGAAAGTAGGCGTTCTATAAAGCGATTTCGGTGAGAATTTGCATTTGTTTGGATTACCAACCTACAGCATTTCGCTGGGCCTTCATCTTGGAGGGCTTCTTGCGAAGGTCCGCCAAACTCAAGCCGCCGCTGCCGCTGGGTCCATGGGTGTCGATCTGCATGTTCTCATCACTGTCCGAGGCCTGACTCTTCAGCATTTTCTTCAAATTAATCAGCTGGAAATGAGGGAGTAAGCATAAGCCTCGGATCAATAGGAGGTTCCAATCTGAGATAGTGTACTCACATCTTGCTCTACACGATCCTTGTTGAACAGTCGCTTGGATTTCTCGGAATTGGCGTACTTAATCTGGTTTTCAATGCAGCTGGAGACGCCGTCGCAGGAGTTGACCCAGGCCTGGAGAGTCTCGACAATCTTGCCAGTGTTTCCGGGTGGTATGTCCCGACCCTGGGCGTACTCCACCTCAAGAATGCGTGTGTTCTGGAACAGTTTTCCATGAATGATGTCTGAAAACGGAACATAAAAACGGAAATTTAATAAGTTTTCCTCGGCTTTTCCGTCGCATATATAAGTAGTCCCCTAAGCGTCTTGTCAACTTTTCTCTGACTAATTGCCCAGAACGAGCAAGAGTGTGAAGCCTGAAGTGGCAGCATTGGAGTGCAGTGAAAACGCCCAGCGACAAGCCAACGCCATGCCCAGGATTACAGTTTCCCTTCGACATTCACAACAAGTGGGCACTCGTTGACGCGCCCCAGCCCTCAGTCGAAGAGTTGTTTGGTGAAACCGGAACTGCAAACTTTTTCATTCAACTGAAACTTTAACTGCCTATCCACCTGCCTGTCGAGCCTGTTGAGTGCTCACAACCAGCGTTTCACAAACGCATTTGAGACTTGTTCGTTTAAAAACCATAGGGGGATTTATTCGTAAAGGCGATTTTTGGTTTTGGTAAACCTTTTAGAGATGCCTTTTACAGATGACATTGCAGATGGAAATTCGGTGAATAATGTTTCCGGACTGGATGGTTGTAGTTTTTGTTTACCAGCCACACATGGAGCCCTTCATATACTGTACAAATTCGGTTACAAATAAAACTCTTCGTGCAAGGTCTCGAATTTCCAAAAAGTGCTATTTAAGCTGTCACAGAATCCTTAACTAATTAAACAATGGGATTAGCCCGAGTGCTCCCATATTTGCCAGGCACTCAATCAATCTCTCCTTTCCTTCCCAAATGGGAGGAATCCCACCAGGCTACCCCAAATCAATTATACTGATTAGGAAGCTGCTTCCACAGACTGCAGCCCCCATATAATAAATAATCAAACAACGGCATTGAATCCAAACCGAAGCGAAAATGCCGAATACTGGAAAGTGGAGACACGTATACAATGTACGTTATCCGGGCAATCAAATACAAGTGCTTTCACTTTTCCTTTGGATATTTTAAGGCTACGTCTAGTGTAGCGATTAGCTTTGTCAAATTACTGTTTCTGTTGGTCAACTCTATTGCCAAACACCACTCCAGGGGACGTAATCCGGCAAATGCACTCTAAGGCATTGCTACAAGAGTGTAATTAATTTGAAACTGAAATGTTTGCTGCCTGTTTCAAATTTGTTTTAAAGAGGAACTTAAATTTATATCTGGCAGATTAGGCAGAGATCTTCGTCAGTCAAGCTCACAGGATTCGGTGATTGTGCTTTGTGAACCGATTCATAAAACTACACCATCAACTTCCCAAGTCATGGAAAATGGTTGGCTTTCCTTCTATAACTGGTTCCTGTTTCGGCCATATCTAAGCCGAAGCTAAGCCCTTAATCGCTTTTTCCCCCAGCTGACTTTACGACCACTTGTCCTGGAACGGGTACACAGGACCAGAACTTGCACTCGGACCAGGACCAAGTTTTTGTCTTTATGGCCGAGACTTGTGACATAAATATTCAATGAAATATGCTAAAAATTCGCACGCTGATTCAATTCAATTTCGCTTACACTCTTTAAGTGATTTGGTTTGACAAATTGTCAAACATATTTTTAATTAGCTTGAGAGCAAATTTAATTTGATGCCACAAGTAGGCGACGAATAATTGAAAAACATGAGCAGATGAGCAGACGAGCAGATGGAAGTCGGATTGGATATGATTGGAATGAAGATGGGAATGGGGATGGGTTGGACTGCGCTGGATGGGGGATGGGGGATGGGAGCCACAAAAGCTGTAAAATTTGTGAGTCATTTTCGCGTTGACATGTGTCTTGTCTCGCCTGCTGGCGCCTCTCCCTAGCCAGCGCCGGAGGCTCCGTGCATGTCACAGAATGCGGGCTGTAGGCTGTGGGCTGCGGCCTGCGAATTTGCGGTTTTTTTCCTGTTGCGTGGCACGAAACGCGAAGCGAATACAATCAATCATGCTTACTGCTGGGCCCACAAATTCTGGAAAAAAACCGTTGACGGACAGCGAAATGAATCGCCTGAGTGGGCCGTCGACGGCTGTCGTTGTGGCTGGGGCTGTAGCTGCCGTTGCGGTTGCGGCTGTTGATACAGTTTTGAGGGATATAAAATTGTTAAAGCCTCCACCCTTATACGAGTATTGTATTCATAATTGGCAGCAGGCCTATATACTATAGGTAAAACCTCTCTCTGTGTCTCTGGCTAAGGCCACGTTAAATAACAGTGCAATCTCCGGAGTGCGCAAATATCTCTCAGGTCGCGCACCTGTCGCCGACAGCTTTGCATTCTCCTCGGGTGCGCCGTCGCCTCCGCACCTGGCGCAATAAAACAGAACTTATTAATTGAAATTTTACACAAAGACCAGCAGCGGGTGGCAGTGTCAGTAGGGCGTAGGACAAAGTCGACAGATAAATTTAACAACGCCTAACCTCAAGGGCGGGAGCTAACGGAAAACTTCTGCCATCAATATGAAGTCGCGGGAACTATGGCAAAGTTTTCACCTAAAACTGACTGAAAGTGCTCGGCGATGACGACGACGACCTCACAGAGAGCTTAGCATCCTCCGAAAAAAGTTTCGCCCGTCAAGTAACAGGCATATGCCGGAGGCATCCGAAACTAAGAAATTCAGGAATGGAGTAATCAGAAACAGCTGCGCAATCAAAGTACACCAGTTTTAAGAAGGGGCGGTGCCAGGAGAATGGGTAAGGGGATGCAGCCGCCAAATGGAGCCTGCAACGAGGGACAAACTTGCAATCAGCAGGAAGACAGCTTGGATCTGGGAACAGACAATGCACTTTGGGAAACACCCAGAAACTCTTGCAGATCCTAAACGGATCCGAGTCCTTCATTGTGTTTTTGTGTATCATGGATATGTTTTCCCTTCGATAGACTCGAATTAATAATCCGTTTTTGCATTCAATTTTCATTGAATGCAGGTGAAATTTGAACTGCTTTTTCGACAGATAATACAGATTACGAAACGGTGCAAGCCGATTGAAATTTGTTGGTTGAAACAAGTGTAAAGTGCTCTCTTGCGTCAGTAAAACATCTGAATGTTTTCAGGGTTTCTTTTGTTTTGTTTTGTTTCTTTTCTGCTTTTCTGAATTGCAAATCCCTATAGAACCACAAAGCACAAGAAAACAACAAAAATAGAGGTAGAACTTGAGGCCATCTCAAAAAGACGCTCTTGAGCACCTAGAATTATGCGGAACTTTCCTTTGACATAAAGGCTTTCAAAAGAAATTAAAGCCTGCGCCCCACCAAGAGGAGAACCATGCCCGAAAACTACTCACAGGCCCAAGGCTCAGGCCCAGACCATTCCACACAGTAGACTGCAGACTGCAGCCACACACGCAATACTCGTATGTCAGAAACAGCGCGCAGTTCTCTGAGCAAAGGATGATGCCGGAGGCGGAAACCACTTTTGTGGCATGTAGCACGGTGCAATGGAATTCCCGAGTTTACAAGCATTTTCGCCTATTTTAGAGCCGCTGTTCGGATTCTGATGCAGCTGATGCAGGCGGTATTGCGCCATGATGAGTTATTCTTCGCTGGGAAAACATTTTCAAATTTGCGCGGATATTAAAAACCGCTCAACTGTCTGCTGATGCTGATACCCTAAAGCGTTAGCATGCTGCATATTCCTTAATGGAGTATTTCTAGAGCAGTCGTAGTGTTCTGCTACAAATCGAAGTCGATTTCTGAATTAGATTTCTTGTGAAGCGATTTTCACATGTACTCTTTCGCTTTGAGACGAAAAATTAATGTTTAAATCAGGAGCCAACCAAACAAAGTCCACTAATAGATCAAGGACCAACGGTCCAACGGCTTTCAAGTGAATTTCAATTATAGAAAGCATTTAGTTACCATATCCTCCTCCTGCCCCTGCCCCCTGCCCATCCAGCATTCCAGGCCTCCCTCCCCAAGCCAAATGCTTCGCTAATGCCAGACGGAGCAGCATTAATGAGAACGCAAACAAAGAGCCACCTGCCCTGCAGCCAGGGGCGGGCCGTTTCCCGTTCTCCATTCTCTCCAACTACATTAAATTGCGATGTCAGATTACAACGTCTAATGCTATGGCACTGATTTCGCATTTGGAATTTCAGGTAGCATCTGCCCCTTGCCCTGCCCAGGTGGATGGCTGATGGCCCAATGATGGCTATCATAATATAAATCTCAGACGCCCACTCACACTTCGTCCATTCAGGTCGAGGGGCCTGACCAGATTGAGATACAGATACAGATACAGATAGCTGGGAAATGTTATTTATGAGACAGTTGGCCTTGAGGGATAAGGCGTTGATTTGTCACTTTGTTTGCTCGGATAATGGACAGCGAAAGATTCCATTAAAAATTTTTAGCATGTTATTTGCTTTGCTCTGACCACCCTCTGGGCAGGCAGTGCTGTCTCCTCACTCTGGTTTACCCGGATTCAATTACGAGTATTTGACAACGTTTTCATAGTTCTGGTCAGGCACCCATGGCTCTGGCCATGCTCGAATTCCGGCGGCAAATCAACTGCACTAGCCATCGTGTCGAAGACCGAAGTGCTTGAAACACAGCACTTGCCACAAGCCTCTTCCCCATTCCGATGCAGTCCATTCCGACGCTTCGACTGACCAACATTGCTGCAGCTTAGACTAGTGTCGGTTTATTTTTGTTTCGGTACACATACTCTATGGTCGCCAAGCTGAAAGATCAACACCACCAACAAGTTTTGCAACAGAGCTTGCATGGCGCATTCTGTATGTAAATATGAATGTGTGGGGTCCGGGACTCGAGGGCTTTACAACTAACCATCCAACAGTTTGGTTGTTGTTTTTGATTTACGGCCTTTAGCAAACAGTTGCAGTGTGGTAGAAAACAAAGTGGCAACTATGTAAACTGCGGATTTTTGAGAGGCGCAAAGATTTATTGAAGCTGTCATGTGGAGGAGCACAGCCCAACCACCGCACATTCAGTTTAATAAATGTAGAAAACAGGAAAACAAAATAAAAAATTGCGCTGAGGGAATTCGAAGTTGATAGTTGAATCGGATGCGAATTTGGAGCTGTATAGATGACACCCACATTCAATCTCAATTAGAGCTGGTACAACAAACCCTTGGCTGTTCCATAGTAAATTCATCAAACTTAAATATTCTGCTTTCCGGATTGAATACCTTTCAATATACAAATTCTACAAATACGAAACATGAACATCAATTGGCTGTAGTTTAAATCCATTCGTTTTTGAACAAAACAGATTGAATCACCATCAGTGCCGACATGCTGCGAGGCATAAGCTCCAACGAGCAATCATTGAGGCAAAAGTGTTCATCCAGCTGTCGTTGCTGAAACGCCGTAAAAACTTCTCTGCATAGTGGGAGGATGAAGCGAGGTGCCAGCAACTGGTGGCAGGTGGCTGCGGCCTCTCTCCCCACGTCACTTAATGAATCCGGCAAAAGAAAGCACCCGCCACAGTCCAGTCGATCGCAGAGATAAACTGGGGCGCCAGGACGCGTCAGCTGTCCGGCTAATCAAGCGCACTGCTCCTGGGAGCAGGGGCGGACTGGAAATTTTTTGATGATTGCCTTCAAAAATGCTAACTAAGGCTCCTCCGCCATTTGTTAGTTCTGTGTTTCTCGTGAAAAAATTAGCATTTGATTCAATTATGCAAAATATGATAAGGAAATATACTGCCACCCACCAGACAAGGGTGGCATTAAAAAGGAGAATTTCTCGTCTGTGTGTCAGGTTTCCGTGAACTATGAGAGCAGTTAAGACAATAGGCCACCCGCATAAACATGACCAAGGTTAAGAACAAGTTGAAGGCTCCTAATTGCACCTGATGTCTAGGCAGACAAGCCAAATGTCTGCTGCCGCCGTCTGAGCTAATGTTTGCGTAAACTTTTTCAATTAACTTTCAACTGAAAGCGTCTCTGCAGAAGTTCTGCTGTTGACCGACTCGACGGCAAGCCTTTGCTTACCCGCATAAATTGCCTCGATGATGATGTCCTCCAGATGACGCACATTATCGATTTCCAGTTCGCTCTGGAGCAGGGCGTACGGAATGCTCTTCGTCTTGATGGCCAGCGACACGATGGTCAGGTGCTGCAGCTTCTTCTGCATGGCTGGGTTCAGTTCGATGTAGTCTCCGGGGTTGGCGCGATATTCCTTGTATGTGCCATACGCGAACAGGTTCAGAGTGTTGTAGTATTTTGCGTCGGGACCATCTTTAAGCTGTGCAAGCAAACAAAGTTATCAAAGGTCAGAGATACTTCCGCAAGGTGCAAATCAATCACAAACCTCCGCCACATTGGGCTCCACGAGCAGCTCCCCGAAAACGAAGACATTCGGTGCCTCCAGCACCTGCTTGAGCACGTCCAGCAGCGCGGGGCCAGTGGCGTTCTTGGCCAGCACGCAGAACTTCTCCAGGAAAGTCTCCTTGCTCTTGCTCGGTTCCTCGGTTCCAAGAAGCATGTCTTGCGTCATTTTAATTGTTTAATTCTATGGTTTTTTAGGCAAAACAAACCCGGGATCTTTGTGTTTTATTTTAGTTAGAGATGTGCGGGATATCGATAGTCTGACTGTCAAAAATATACTGAAATATACCATCTAATTTTCGAAATATACTGTAAACATACCGATGAAAAAACGAACTTAGCCCACCTAAGCCCCCTATATTAAAGCAGTTCAACGACTTGACGTAAATGTCGGAAAATATTAATGTTTGTAAATTCTTCTTGTAGCTCCATGCCATATTTCCTCTGAACTTACAAAAACTACGATATTTTTCACCTGATCTGCGCTAAAGTTGTTAAATTTTTATAATTTTCGGTGATATATGAAACTACCCCTTGGTCTACAATGGGTTAATCGTTCTCCGTCAAGAATCTTACGATTTTTTCGTCGATGTTGCTATTTAATTTGATAAAAATTGATAGATAAACTTTCTTCATGAAATGCTAATTTTAACTAATTAAAAAAAAAAGTTATAGAAAAAAAGGTCAAACAAATACTCATCCTTTGACCTGACCATGACTACAGTAACCAAGGAAAGAGCTACGCGAGCTATTGGATAGATTTCAATTTCAACTTTAAAATATACAGAAAAGAATACATATAATCACTAACCATACAGTATTACCGTATATAATCCTCCTGAGTTTTATCTCGCGAATAAAAAATTTAAAAAAGCAGCGTAGTTCTCAGAACTCTTAACTGAAATAAAAGCAAATACTTTCTGGCCTACTTTCCATTTATATTTTATATTTTTATGTGATTTTCCCTCTCTTGTAGCCCTTTTTATAATATCCTGAGCACATTTGGTCTCATCATTTCCCCTACTTTCATTCCATTATGTTTAAAGCTTAGCATCTTTATTTGAAAACACTTTGCACACAATTCGGCCCACTCACAGACAAACACGCCCCTTGGGGAGCTATAAGGAAGGTGGACGAGAGATTGGGAGGGGAAAAAAATATTCTTTAGGCCACTTTCGGCTGCCAAAACTTTGCTCCTGCCGGCACACTTGTTATTATTGTAAAGGGGATGGAGAATATGAAAAAAGGTGCAGGGTTAAAGTTGAAAACCCTTTATTTTGTCTCCCAGGAGGGGATGCGGGGAAGCGGCTTTTCTATATGGGATTTGCCTGCTCATCGATTATGAAAAGTTAACTAAAGGTCAGGGCCCCTTAGGACAACACGCAGAGATCATGACCAAACAAAGAGAAGAACAAAAACTTTAAAATGCTACAACAAAATACGAGTATCCATTAGTTAAACATATTGTCTGCCATTCTCTCTGCTCTCGGCTCTGTGTACCTTTCACCATCCCGTCTCCCATACTCGAATAAGTACATATACTGGTCTGGTCTGGTCGATTGAAAGTACCAACGGGTACGGACACAACACTTGACCAGAAATTGACCAGGCTGTTTCCAATTTTTCCAATTGGATTGGCACGTCTGCCCAGTGCCCACTGCCAGCCCCTCACCAGCCAGCGGACATGGGTAGCTCTCGTTGGTGGTACATTTTTATTGGATTTTCCGAGTTTTGGATTTGCGCTGCCATTACAAAATTGTAACTGTAACTGCCTCTGTTACGGCCTCTCTCGGTATTTTCTGCTCTGTGGTGTGGTTGAGCAAAGTGCAGCCCTGATTAGTTTCCCGTGTGTGCGTTGGAAACATTTTTGAAATAATTTGGAAATGTTTCACTTTGGCTTAGCTCGCATTCTGTGGGGAAAAAGTTAGTTCCGGTGCGGAGTTTTTGCTACCAACCACAGTGATGTGTAATCAGATAGTTTCGGCACAGAGCAAATCAAGTATCTATATAGAAGACCAATGGATAAAAACTGGACAAAAACCAGTGCTATAAGGGACACAGGGTACCACATAGTTATGCACTTTTTCTCGCATTTTCTCAATGCTATGTCATGCTGGAAAACTTTCTTCGTTCCGTATTTGTTCTTTTCTTCATTTTTGTTGTTGTTGAGATTTTACTTTGTCATTAATTTGACACACAATGAATCGGCAGTTGGCAGTTTGTTTCGGTTTTTCCGTTGAGTTCAATTGTTTCGGCTTGCTTTCGAGATTATAGAACGAAGGCTTTCAATTTAATTTGCGATTTGCGGCAAGGCAAGCCATTTCGTCATTTGCCACACGACATCTCGAGAAGAGAATGCCACGCCATGCCAGTTGACAACTAAGCTCTAAAATTAATTACACTTTTTCACTTTCGAATCCATCATCAGGATTCACATCTTCAGTACTGAATGCCCCCTCGAGTCGGCTCTAATCTCTGCTACGCCCCCAATGCTGTTTTCGTATTAGCCACGCGCCCAACAATTTGCTTACCAGGCCATACAAATATATGAAAACAAAATATCAAAACAGTTTCATGTCGCCTCAATGGCCGCATAAAAAATGCGAGCACTGCGAACGCGTTCGGCATGCAAATCGCGGAGCTAACATTAACAGAGACTTATTAGACAGGCTGCTGTACAGGATAACAGTGGATAACGTAGTATAACAGTGTTCTAAAAGCAGACTTCAACTTCCCCTGCGTATCCTTTCGGGTAGTAGCTGCTGTCGCTGTCGTCTTGGGCTTATCATTTTTTTTTATCAGCCAGCCGGACAAGGAATTGACCTTGCTCGCAGTTTTACGCTCTGCTCATTAGAACCTAAATTGCTTTCCCCGGCTCTCAGTGTGTGCTTCTGTGCTTGTGTGCCCGCGATTATTTGGCTTACTTTGTGTATTGTTATGGTTATGGTTGTTGGCGGACTTATCGATGGAAATGACAGGAAAACCAGAAAAGTTATATTCAGACTTTTCCGTCGTGAACTTTTTCAAGAGTGGATTATTGTGGGATTCACCAGAAAACGAGCCAAAAGTGAATAAAGAACTCGACTCGGGAATTAAATTTGCAATAAGTGGACAGCGGAAATTTCAAATATGCAACCAAAGGTTGTACAAAGGGCCTTGATGAAAATTCTCATCCGCTTGCCCTTTATGACAATTTATCAGGCATTTCGTTTTTTATTATTTTTTTGGTGTTGTTTAGCAGCAAACTATGTAGCCGATGGCGAAGTGAACGAAAAAATAAAAGAACGACATTAATTAAAATGCCATTTGTTTCTCGTATCGCAGACGGAGAATGAGAGAAAGAGAGAGAGAGAGAGAGACAAAAAAAATAGTCGTTCTCTGTTGGTGGGAATTCTCAGGCATTCATATTTGCCAAAACTAGACAAAGACTTCGTTCAAAACCAATCGAAAAACCTCAATTAGTTGTGACAATACACACGGGGTGTGAGGGTTGTGCTTCTGCGAGAGCGGTAACAACGTCAAATCCAATTTTGGTAGGGTCCCAGCCACTGCCACCCACCCAAACAGACCCCCAGGCCACGCCACTAAGAACCCACCAACTCCGACACACACACACACACACATGATTGGAAATATTCGGATATGGAAATGCTTCATCCACATGGAACCTAGTCAAGCATTGCATATTATTATAACGATTTTTGGTTGTTTTTGTTGTTTTTGTTGTTTGCACTGTTGGCGGACAGAATCAAGGCGAAACTACTCGTATCGCATGGGTGGGGGGGGGGGGGGGGGGGGGGTTATAACAAATGTTGACATGTGCAGGATTCCAAGGATAACACGCCAGTAGTGGGGGAAACAATCAGGGAGACAATTTGAGCCATTCCGGATTTGGTTGCCACTTGTTGACATCGGAATAGGATCAATAGATTAGAGAGAAATGGAATGGATTGGATTGGATTGGATTGATGGGTCTTCATTCCGTAACCAAAAGTCATTTAAAAAAAAATGTACAGTTTAAATACCATTCTCCATGTAAATGCATCTAAACAGACATCAGGAATTCTTTGTGCAGAAATAATTGAAATGTTGACAACTTTAATGGCTCTCACAGATACTCGAAAATCACAGAAACTAGCCCGAGGTAAATCAATGAAGGCATCTCAAAGCCATGTGCCACAATACAAGTCAATCCTTAATCTTCTAAACTACTAATTGAAGTGTCCTTGAGCATTTTACCCTCCAATCAATTGATGTCATTCCTTTAGCTATTCTCCTTTTTAAAGTTCAGACCAGGAACTGGCCCTACCGACATTTCGACTAAGCATAGGTGGAGGAGTGACTTTCCCTGCGTGCCTCGCTCTTTGCCATCCTTTGTTGCCCTCCTTCTGTTGCCTTCGAGCTAAATGTTGAAAAGCGGCTTTTGTCTTGTAATCGAGAACTTAAACATTTAACAAGTGGCTAGGGGTCTAAGCCGTCATCCGACATCCGACATCCGACATCCGACAGCCGGGGCCATCAATTTCAATCTGCATTTGTCTATTCTTAGCCCCATGTAAGCACCTGCGAATGGGTGCCGGAATGGGTGCTTTACTTGGATCCCACATACTGGAATGTTGTACGGAGTAGTCAGGGATAACAAAATTGATGAATGTTTTTAGCATGACTCGTTTCCAGTTACCCAAAACAACAAACAGCAAACAGAAAACAACAACTCGACTTTAGAAAAAACAGCAAACAAATGGTGCGAGGATGGAGGGCACAAGGCAAAAAGCCAGCGTGTGTGGAGTATTATCGCCATCATCCCATCGAGGGGAAGCACAGAAAAAACCTATCAAAACAAACGATAATGTGGTCCCTCTGCTGGCAGGGTCGCCTGATGATGTGCAGGATGGATAATCAGGATGTCGATGCCATTAAGCGATGTGAGGGCGACTGGCCCCCAGCCCCGCTCCCTCTAGCTCCCTGTGCGATGATGTGCTGATTGCCCCGAGGCGAGCCAAGTCAATTGGTCAGTCAGCAATAAAATCAAGAAGAAATAAGAATCAGCGCAATTCCGGCTACTTGCTACTGTCTGTGGGTATCGGTGTCCCCTCGTACTCGACTATAAATCGAATTAAATCACGTTTAAATAGGGCAGCGAAATGGCGTGTCGGGTGTTTAGTGGGGGCCATCGCTTGAATGGCATAATGAATCGGCAGTAAAGTGA